CATACACCAATTCACTTGGTCTATTTTTAATCCAAGGATTAATGTTTAATTTAGATAATGAAATTTAATAGCAAAAGTTTATTTTGAATCAGAAGCTAGGCATCTTTGCTTTTCAAGAACCAGAAATAGTATACCTTTCTGTGTTTCGTTTCAGTAATTAGGCAAGTTTAAAAATGAAGAAATTTTATTACTAACAATTTTAAACTTAAAGATTTGAATGACAATTATAAATGACAATTCATGGATGACAATTTAATGACAATTTTTAACAGCTTTGATATTAAACTTGTTTTAAAAGGCAAATCTGTGGCTGGATGAAAGCTAAATTGGAAATACGAGTTTGGATGCGTGAATGGAATTCTCAGAAGATTTCTTTCAGAGAGAGAAAAGCGTTCTGGATGGAAATGATGTTTTGCGGCTAACTGAGTTATTTACTTGAAGAAAACAGCATCAAACACATTCCTGTGTGCTACCTCACCCAAACAGGAGACCCTCTTGTGGATCCGGAGGTCAGGAGGATGGTGTTTAATCCAGGGTACTCGGTCCGGCAGAGAAGACGCGAGTGAACCGATCCTCTGGTCCAGAGATGTCGCCGGGTACACAGTGTCGAGCGTTTGGCTTAACTGTTAGACGTTTCTCATCTTAACTCAGAAGTCAATAACTCTGTAAGGAGTTTTTCGTCAGCTGGTTACAGTTTCGTTTATTCGTAGCTATTCTTGTCGGCGTGACAGAACAGCTTGGCAGAGGGTCAGGGCGGCCATCCCGTTTCCTCAGGATGATGTTGGTTCAAGAACTGACTTGAAGCTGGTGATGGTTAGTTTACAAAGCTCTCAGGACACTCCCACTCTCTCAGCAAGAAAGCTTTGGTCATGCGTCAAAAACATGTGTTGGCAGTTATTGTTTAGATGAACTCTGTGTTAGATGGATAAGGTGGAAGTGACCTTCTTTGCTGAACACATTACTGTCATCAACCATAATCATAATTAATCATTATTATACCCAAAGCATAATAATTCATTTCATGTAATTAAAATACCTTTAAACTGAACCAAGTGATCATTTATGATGATCATAATAAACAGTAATAAAATCAAAGAGTTTATTATTATTATTATTTAATTATCATCGTGAACTTGAGGTGTCCTTCTTCTGGGACGGAACGGCAGCAGATATGGTGATATGTTCTTCCAGACATCATGGCTCCTTGGTTAATCTGTTGATTTAAAAGTACTGTTTGACCCAGCTTGACCCAGCTGGGTAAATGTGACCTTTGCCACAAATCAGAGGACCTTCCGTGATGCTACAGCGCTGATTTTTGAGTGTCGTCCTACAGTCCAAAATCTATCCCGTTAGAGTAAATAATTTAATATTGGACTCAGTTAGCACAGCATTGTTTGCCTTAATGTGGCCCCGTGATTGAAAGGGGACCTGTCCAGAGTTCAGCCTGCTTTGTCTAAAGGACTCCTGGAGATGGGGACAGGCTCCCTGTGACCCTGAGGAAGATCAAGCAGGTGTAGACAGATAGAATAATATCCAAGCATTTTAAATTGCACCAATGAAAGCTGCTGATTTCCAACTAGTTTGTTAATATTTAAAAGTGTGGACCAATCATTTAATCAGTACATTTGCGGTGGTCTCTACTAGGAATGAATGCCTTTAAAGTCATTCTTGGGGAAACAAAAGGTTAGACGCTTTTGTTTCAGGAACTAGCAGAATGCCACATCAGAGTTGAGCTTTAGACAACGCATTTTTTCCTGATATTTGGACATCTCGTCTCTGACTGGCTAAAGCACCACTGACTATGTTTGCTCTGCAACGCTGATGTTTTATCTCCAAAAATAACTCCCGCCTGAAGGAGTTCTGCCATGTGGTGGTGTTGCTAATGCTAAGGGTTAGCTTCTACTAGCTGAGACATTGTTTGCTGTTTCTTGGATGCTAAACCAACAACAGCCTTCCCCGTTACGAGCCAAGATGGGTGAATCCATGAATGTCACTGTCTGTTTTCTATCAGAAGCTAATGCAGGAGATAGGTGTAGGAGACTATTTTCATGTTCAGTCTGCATGAAAAACTCAGAGTGAACAGTTATATTAAGAAATTATCAAGACTTTTTTTTCAATCAATCACTCCTTTAAGTTTCTGAGTTTTCTTTCTAAATCTAAAACCACTGAAGCACTTCACAGAATCAGCTGAGAGCTGAAAGTTTGAGAATCATTGCTGTAGACCACTCATCATAAACACTGCAGCACATTTAAACATTTATAGATAACAGATTAGGTTGGGGTTGGATGTCTTGATTATGGAAGTTTGACAGCCAAAACATGTATAGAAATTATAAATTTCTTCTTCAAGTTTCCTGCATCCTGCAATGCCCTGGTCCTGTAGAATGAGCCCTGGCATTTTTACTGTGATTGCCTGTTTTTCTGTAAAATCACAGAAAAAGAGAGATGCTCGGGTCGAGCAGGCTGCTTCATGCGCGTTCACGCTCAGGCATAGCCCGTAGCATTTGCTATCTGTAGCTTTAGCAGCAGAGAGAGAGGCAGTGCCAACTCAGCGACTTTGTCGCTGTTCCTAACGCCTAGTGATGAACCTAGCTACATTTCTGAGGACCCTTAGCTACTTTCCTCTAAATATTTCCTGGAAATTAGCAACAAACTAGCCATTTTCGCTCCGAACCATTCTTTGAACGTTGTTTCAGCTGTCATCAAGGATATAAATGTTACAGATACAAAAGACATCACAGGTGCTTTAGCTTACCTATAAGATGTTGGACTCTCGTGCAGAAGACCCGGGTTTGATTCTGGATGAGAACATATTTTATTTAGAGTTTATATTTTACATTAATGGTATATTTTTTTACAGTAAGATGCCCAAATTTTTATTTGAGACTCGCAGAACGGCATTGAATTCACAGATAAAAAAGATGTGGGTTCAACTTTCATTTTGGAACAATTTTTCAAGCAAGGGAAGGGAATGATCTGAGCATGCAGGAGGACTGACCCATCTTAAACCTTTGTCGGCTGTGCTGAAGAGAAAGGCACAGAACCAAATTATTTAATTAATTAGCTGCGCGTTCTCCTGTCCTCTGCCCCCCCCCCAACCACACACACACACACGGGACTGTCTCAGCTGTTATTTTCGTTAAGGAGTGTGCACGTACAGCATGCACGAGCCTGCTGTTGAGGCTGCTGTTACTCTTTTGGCCTGAGGGGGCAAATTCTAAACTCTGCAAAGTCCCTTTAAGGACACCAACATTGTGAAATTAAGCTGCCAACCCTAGAAGCCAGAGTTGGCTCCTTTTGAGCTCCAGCTCCATCCATCTGTCCATTTTTCCAGTTTGTAGCCTAAGCAGAGATGTCCGGACCTTTCTAACCACTTGGGCCAATTCCTTCAGGGGAGTTTTAAGGCATTCCCAGACCAGCTGAGAAACCTAGTCCCTCCAGTGTGCCCTGGGTTTTCCTTTAGGTCTCCTCCTGGTTGGCCGTGTCCAGAAAACCTCACCAGGGAGATATCAGGAGGCTTCCTAATCAAATGGGCAAGCCACATCAACTGCCTCCTCTCAATGAAGAAGAGAAGCAGATTTAATCTGAGCCCCTTCTGGATGACCACGTTTCTCACATTGTATCTCAAAGTAAAATCCCAAACATGCTGGAGATTAAAACTTTGGTTGCTTGTATCGGCAATCTTGTTCTTTTGGACGCTACCCAAAGTTCATGACCGTAGATGAGGGTTGGAAAGGAGACTGGCTGGTAAATCAGGAGCTTCACCTTCTGGCTGGCTCTCTCTGACAGACCCGAACATCGTCCACATGAATTTAGATGGAGCACCAAGCTGCTAATCACAGTTGAGCTTCCTTTTGCCCCTTGTTCATGAACAAGACCCAGAGATACTTAAACTTCTCCACTTGGGCCATGGGACAGGAGGCATTCTACCCCTTTATGGCCCAAAACCATGGCCTCAGATTTAAATGTGCTGATTTTCATCTGCTGCTTCACACCAAGCTGCAAACTGCTCTGGCAAAAGTTGAAGATGAAGCCAACTGGACCACATCATCTGCAGAAAGCAGACACTAGACCCTCCTCTCTGGAACCCTTGAAAAGACCATGAAAGGGGATTCAAGAATGATCCCCCTTAAGCTGTAACACCCAATGGCCCCCCTTTTAGAGTCGGAGACCACCACCAGAGCGAATCTCATCCACACCAGGGGCCCTTCCACTAAGGAGCTTTTTCTTGGCAAACATTCCACACGTGATCATGACATTCCCTCTGTTGCACTATGGCGTGTTCTTCATTTGAAGGTCCGTGGTGGCAGATCAGGGTAATTCTGCCCACTGCGATGTCTTTTGAAAGCAGCTTGGAACACCTGCCAGCAAGACTGAGGAGGTCTTTGTAGAAGTCTGCCCACCAACTCACGACATCCTGAGTTGAGGTCAGCAGTGCACCGTCCACCCAATAAACAGTGTTGGCTTTCCCCTCCTGAGATGCTGGATGGTGGATCAGAAATGCCTTGAAGCTTTACAGAAGCACAATTCCACAACCTCAGGAAACTCTTCCCACTCCTAAGTTTTGCCTCAGTGACCACCTGAGCCACATTCTGCTTGAACTGCCGTTGCCCATCAACTGCCTCTGGCGTCCCACAGGCCACAAAGCTTGACAGCATCCATCACTGCCAGTGTCCACCAGTGAATTCAACCACCTGGTCAGCTGCTTTGACTTTGGGCAGGAACGCGGCCCGCTCTGATTCAATGTTCCTGCTTCCCCTGGGATGTGTTCAAAGTTCTACCAGAGTTCTGACATGCAGGAGACTCTGCCAGACCCTCACAATACGTTTGGGTCTGCCAGGACAACCAGAGTAGGCTCTTTTTGAGCCCTGACTGCTCCATCCACATTCTTTAGCTCTGCCTTTCTTCAAACTTGCATTTACATCCTTAACTTTAGCAAATAAATACCTTCTAAGCTCACAAATCACACATTTTTACTTAGAAAAGACATTACAGAGGTAATTATTTCACTTGAGTTTATTTGTAACAAATGAAACCTGTGTCGATAAAGAACAGAAATCCGTACAGACTTTGTTTTTTTTTGTCATTGTTTTTTGTTGTTGTTTTAATCTTCACCCGCTTCGAGTACGAACGTAAGGGGAAAAAAAAATGAAAGCACTTGTTGACTTAGATCCGAAAACAAAACAAAATAAAAAGTTTACAAGTACAGACCAATTGGAGGTAACCGATCCAAGTAACACACCATAATTTCATTTTTATACAATTTATAAACTCCAGTTTTATCCATCTACATGATACATTGGGGGTAAAATAGAACACGCTTTTGTGAAACCTCTTGCTCGTGGGACCACAAATCCACAATGTGGTGTATTGCACACACTGCTGTGCCATAAAACTGTGATTCAGGTGCATCATTTTTGTTAGATCTCTCTCCGTATATCTGATAAACCTCTCCCTACGCTTTATAATTAATCCATACATAGTCATCCATTTCTATATGCATTTCACTTACTCTCTGTGTTCTGTGGTATTTACATATACACAACCATGTGAGCAGTACAGGATCCATCTTCGATGAGTTCAAGTAAGTCTCCTATTTTTGGGAGGGGGGGCTCTTACAGATACTAGTATTAGTGCATAGTACAAAGAGAGAAAGTGCAAGTCTTCCCATGACCGCTGTGACCAAAGGGGCATCTCAAAAGTGGTACCATGCATACAAAAAACTGGGTAAATGGTGTCTAACCGTGGACCATCACTTATGTGGTCAAAAGTTAATGGAGACATATTAAAAAAATGACTACATCTGTTGTGTTGGTAGCACCTGAACTTCTCTTTGCCTTTGTCACTATTGGAGAACATACATGAGTTTAGACCCAAAAAACCCAACCAAAACCACGGGACACAAATGGGAGTTTCACTGGTTTCAGGTGGGTTACACAATCCAATAGTGTCGTTATTTTTTTTTTCTCTTTAGTCCTGTTGTTCAAAATAACAAAAATACCCACTGTCGTCGAGCTCTGTGAGGATTTGTGCATAGCCAAGCACTTCTCTGAGCTCGGTGTGTGTGTGTGTGTGGCCAAAAGTTTACGTCAGGCACACTGAAACACACAAAAAGCTCGTGCAGGTGAAAGAAACGATGGAAAAGCTCAAACTCTTTGTCTGTCCAGCTTTCTACAGAGCTTTATCTGGGATATGAAGTTCGGGGTTGAAATAATGGCTGCACCTCTCCAGCCCACACAGATGGAAAATTCACAGCCAGAAAACACAAAATACATTTGAACAAAAAGCATGAACATTCAAATTTCACATAAAACGCACATTCGCACACACTCAATAACACACAAAAAGCCATTAACGTTATCAAAATAGGCGTGTAATATAAGGCACTAGAAATCTAAAATCAAAAGATGCTGTCTGAAACATGACTTCAATCATTCTCAGCTCGCCGTGACCCACGGGAGGATGATGACATCATCTACTGGATCTGTGACGTGATGACAGAGGTCAGAGAATGGTGGCGGGAACCAAAGAAACGTCCAACATCGATTTCATTCTCATTTTACTCATGGCGTAAAACTGCAGTTAGTGACTTGGACACAAAAATATAGAACAGATCTACTTATTGCACACTGAATTGGACAGAGAGAAAAGTCTAAGGTGAGCATTCCAGTGAGAAATTTGTCCCCTCCTCAACGCTGCCACCCTTTTCTACACCCCTCTCTTTAGGAATCCTTGTGAAGCTTATTTTGACACATAAATACTTGTTTTTTCCTGTGCATATTTTCTGCACTTGTGTCTGTCTGGTTCTCTCCACAGAACAACTTGTTGCGACACCGGGAACGCTCCGTCTTCGCGTCTCCGACGCCACGGAGACAGGGACACCCCGCGTGTGTGAGCTTCTTTAGAACAACAACAGGGTGCTGCAAACATGAGTGACACTGAACAAACGGTGGCTTCTGTTGCAGAATTGTGAACATTTTCCATGTTTGATTTGATTGTACACTTTTAAAAATGGCTACAGCTCATTGGACTACACAGAAATCGAGATACAACCTTGCTTTTGTAGTCAGTGGGGACAAAACCGTTAGAAAACAACAGAATGTGCCAACGGGAACACGCACGTTTTTTAAAAAACAATATAGTCATATCTCTTTCTAAAAAATTAAAGTAATGTTTTACTTTGTGGTGTGCATTTTGAACCTCGTGCACTTCCCTTATTTTAGACGGCAAAGCATAAGGTCTAACTGTTGGTGCTTGTTACCATGTGGTAGACATGTCCTCTGCTCTTTCAGAGGAAACAAAAGTCTGTTTCCGAAAGAAATCAAAGAGAAACAAAAATGGTGCTTTTCTTTTTAAATATGTGTTTTTTTGTCTTTTAATCTTGTGTGCTCCGTGTTTTCAGTCTCTCTGTGCTTCAAAGTCTCAGTTCCTTCAGTCTACAAGGCCTCCATAGATGGACTGGTAGACTTCCACGTGACGAACCTTCTGATGGGATCATCAGAGTTTCCCCGTGAGCAAATCAAAATACCGTAGCGTTGGTTCTGTGTTGTAGTTTGGTGATGCTACACTGGTGGTGGACAAGGTGAGAGTTCCACACCAAAACAACACAAAGCTATCTGGGTGCTCGCAGAAGCACTGAGAACAAATAAAAACAATCCTTTTTTCATCAAGTATTCTGTTTGGAGCAGTGGTTTGAAGCTGCTGCTTCAAACTCGACCCCCCCGACGTGTGTTTTTGTTTGGGCTGAAGGTGGAAGGAGACACCCCCTCATCAAGCGGGTTGCTATGGCTCAGTTAGAAGTGCTGTTTTTCTGGATACGGGATAAGCAGATGTCCTCCCTTAATTCTCCGATGTGGTGGCAACGTCTTCACGCACACTCTCCAGCCAGGCGCACTTATTCAGGTCGTGTGTTTTTGTGGATGTGTGTGTGTGTGTGTGTGTGTGTGAGAGAGACTACAAAAAAAGGGGAGCACTCGGCTGAACGTGGCGTGACAGACAGCAACTGGCTTTATGTTGCATAGTGATCAAAGCTTCCCAAGTACTCCAGACTGGCCCGGTAGCAGAACTGGTACTGGTCCTGGCGGGGAGCACAGAAGAAATCCAGTTAGTGACAGAAACAAACGTCATAAAGAAGAAAATGTAGGTAAGTGCTTTTTAAGATAAACTGAGCTATGTACAAGTAAAGACGCTCACCTCTGTCTGAACGGTGGCAGGTCTCTGAGTGCGCAGCATCTTCACCGTCTGGAAGATGTCCACAACGCCCTCATACCGCATCCTCTCCAGGACGATACTGAGGGTGATGAACACACCAGTCCGCCCCACTCCAGCACTGATGGGGGTAAAAAGATTTGAGAGTCGAGTATTTAGAGCCTAGGCCCGCTTTTAGAACATGTTATTCTAATATAATTATTAAACACATTAAATGCTGAACCTGAGAGAATATTAGGCTTTTTTATGGCATGATTTTGTGGAAGAAACAGCTGAGTTTTGCGCGTACATCCGCCATGATTCACTGAAACGTGTCACATTTGTTTCAGCTTTGTAAGATGGTATAGAAGGGTCACTTTGAGGGAAAAAAAACAGTAACAAGGAAGATTTTCTCCAACTTCAAAGTGAAATGTGATAAACTGTGATGAAGGCAAAATACTACAAGAGAAAAAGTCAAGATACTGAGAAAAGTAGAGCAAATAAATAAAAAAAAGGGTTTTATAAGAAGTTATTTTATCACGAATGCTGTGGGTTAAATCTGGAAAACCAAATACTGGTTTAGGCTGTACTAAGTTTTAGCAGACAACAGCAAATATAAGAAATTGGTCTGGATGACAACACTTTTGTGAGTTTGAGGCTCTTATTGTGAAGGATGGGTGAAAGGTTATGGCGGTACAAGCTTCTGCAGAACTAAAGACCACCCTTCAGAATGACATATTTTTATTGACCTGTTAAAACACACCTAAAGGGCGACGGGGCGACGGTGGCACAGGAGTTAAGAGCTCACCCGTAATTGGAAGGTTGCAGGTTCGAGTCCTGCTCAGTCTGTTGCTGCTGTTGTGTCCTTGGGCAAGACACTTAACCCACCAGCAGGCAAGGTGGGTTAAGTGACTCGCCATGCACAGGGCAGATGTGGCTACAATGTGTGTGAATGGGTGAATGACTGATTGTGTTGTAAAGCATCTTGGGGGGTTATGGGCTCGACACACGGGAGGCGACATCGCCTCTCCTCCATTCATTTTCAATGAGACATGCGCGACAAAGCGATAATCGCGGGTCTCCCTCCTACCAAGCGAAACGCGAAAAACGTGCGTGTGAAATTTTGTGCTCGTGCACGTGTCGTGCACAGGCGACCCAGCGACGCGATCCCAGAAAGTTGAAATATTTTCAACTTTTCATCGCTGTCGCTCGGACGAGGACCAATCAACGAAGGTTTCATTCACTGACCAATGAGCGGACAGGATGCTCCGTACATCTCCGAGCAAACATGGAGAAGTTGATTATTATTATGATTTATAGTAAAATCAGAAGTAAAATTTCACATAACTCTAGCAGCACCTTGTGAAACATCATATCTACCGCTTTATTATCTCTGAACCGCTTAAATAACCTTAATTCTCTCCAACCTGACACAGGCAAGCAAAACGGAAGTTTCGATTTCGCCATGGAACAGAACGCGTAGACGGCTTTGCCGCTGGCCGCGGATCGCCTCCCGTGTGTCAGGTAATAAAAGGGACGGTGACAAATTTCGCTGATCGCGGTCGTTTGTCGCCTCCCGTGTGTCGAGCCCATTAGGGTCAGGCCTTTTTAAAAACCATTTAAAAACCTCGAATAAAAACAGTCAGGCTCAGGAACACAACAGGTTTAATATCTTCAGGCTCAAATTCGTTAGCCTGGCCTGCCAGACTCCTCCTCTGTTTAATCCTGCACAGAAAAAGGCTCTGGGAACTCTCCTATTCAAATAGCCCCACCCCCTGAGAATTCTAACCGAGCCAATCAGCGCTGAGTATCGTACGTCACACACCACAACGCCGAGTTTGTCGAACATGGCGACTGAAGTGGAGTTCGCTGCGGCTCTTTCCTCTGGTCTAAATGACTTGAATGTCTTTAAAACAACAAGTAGAGGCGCTAAAAGCCTTTCTGCAAAAAAAAAAAAAAAAGATGTTTGCGTTGTTGCCAGATGTCTTTTTTTACTACAGCTAAAGAAATTACAGCGTCACGCTTCACATTTTGGAAACAAAAATACAAATCTTGCTCCTTTTTCTTCTGAGTGACTTTCATATGTTGTTACATTACTTGTCTTTGTGTGTGTGTGTGTGTGTGCGCGCGCGCGCGTGTGTGTGTGTCTGCTCTGTCTTCTCCATCCCCAGTGAGTCGTGGAGGATGGCTGCTTATACTGAGCCAGGATTCTCTGGAGGTTTCTTCCTGTTAAAAGGGAGTTTTCCTCTCCACTGTCGCTGCATGCTTGCTTAGTATGAGGATTGCTGTAAAGACTCTGACACTAGTCAGTGACTTGATGCAATTTTCTGGGTTCCTTATATAGGAAACATTATTTCTGATTGGCTTAAGAACTGTCCTGAATTGGAATGTTTATAATGTGAAGTGCCTTGAGACGACTCTTGTCGTGATTTGGCGCTATATAAATAAAATTGAATTGAATTGAATTATGGTGACAAACATGAGGCGTTTGCTTCAGATGTCCAGCTGAGTTCTGATTCAGGAAGAAAACACATCCAGAAGTTGTGTGTGTGTGCTTTATGAATGTGCTCATCCTTAACTAGATACCATTTTTAGTTCTTGTGCAGAGTCTTTCTTGATGAGGATCTTACGTTTTATTAATTAGTCGCCTGAACTGCAAGCGGGCCACTTTAGCACCCAGACTCTGCTGTTGCACAGTTCGGCATCATCTTACTGGATTCAGTTTTTCAAAAACACAACCATCTAGGTGAAAGTAATGAACTGGACGCGTCCACAAATGCAAGTTACACATTCATCATGAAATCCCTCAGCTTCGAGGATGCTGGCATTTAGCCGGCGTTTCCTTCCACAAAGAGGAAGTTATTTACAAATAAATAAAAAAGTCAAATTTAATTTCAATGGGTCAGACAACAGTACGGGTTTCCACTTCGTCTCAGTTATTCTAAGTTAAGTGTTTTGTCTCTCAGGGTCAGCCTTTAGAATGACTGGATGCCTGAGCTAAATAGGATGAAAGTATTTTGATGGTGTTGGACAGTCCCAGATGATGCTTTCATCCCATCAGTCACTCCACTTTATAAACCCTCACTATAAATAATCTATGAAGTGCTGAGGTGTTTTAAGGAGACATTAGACATACCTGCAGTGCACAGAAATGGGCCCGTCCTGGCCAAACTGCTCTTTAGTTTTGTGCACTTGGCCGATAAAATCAATGAATCCTTCCCCTGATTTTGGCACGCCTTGCTCTGGCCAATCAGTGAACTGGAACTGACGAACTGTCCGTGACTGGCCGTCCTGAAGACGTGAAGTCAGATTGGTATTTTGTTTTATTTCTACATGAATTCAAACACAGGAGTAAGCTGACGACTCACTCTGGCATCGGTCACTTTGAACTCTCGGAGGATGTACTGAGGCATGTTGTATTCAGCCATTGGATCCACCACAAAGTACTGGTACCTGGCTGAGCGCTCTGCAGGCCAGTACTGGTGACACTTCTCCTGTAGCAGACAGGACAAAGACCTTTATTAGAACTCTACCTCATGCTTGAGGGATTTGGATTTCCAGAGGTACGAATTTAGGCTTCTTCATTGCAACAATTCCTCTGTGATGAAAACTTTTAATATCTAGCATTGTTCATGTTGGCTTTAAATGTTTAATCCTGAAACATTTCACCTGAAAAACGTCATTTTATAAAGTCTGTGATCAAAAGGTGCTTCCCTTTTGTAAAATAAACTGTCTTTTATATTTTAAAGGCTGATCTGAAGGTGAAACCTAATACAGCTTTATGTCAACATTAGCTAGTAATAATAATAATAATAGCCTTTATTGTCATTGTACAGGATACAACGAAATTGGAGTGCCACTCCCTTGGTGCACAATACAATAATATTTACAAATATAAAAGGTCCCCTAAAACAAAACAATGGTAAGTACAATATATACAGAATAGCAGCTAAAATATTATGTATAAAATGGCATTAGAATAGCAGCATAATAGTTGATGGTGACCTTGACAAGTCGCTAAGCAGGTTTAATTGTTTTTATGCTTATTTACTATAGAGATCGCCCTGGGAAAGAAGCTATCCCTGAATCTGTTTGACCTGGTTTTATGTGACCTGTACCGTCGACCTGATGGTAATAGTTGAAAGACTTGATTGCTGGGGTGAGACTGGTCCTTGATGACATTACTCGCTCTGCTGAGGTACCAAGAGTTTGCAATGACCTCCAGGCTGGACAGAGAGCAGCCAGTGATCTTCTGGGCAGTGTTGATGACCCTCTGCAGTACTTTCCTGTCTACAGCTGAGCACAGGGGCGTAGCACCAAATTCTGGGCCCTAGGTACAAGTCTTCTAGGTGGGCCCCCATGCTCAATTATTTAATATCTCTCTTACACATTTTTTGTCATGCTATAGGACAAGATAATAAATATGATCTTAGTTTAACCTCTATATTGAGCAAATACAAATGCCAGCATAATAAAAGTGAAATGCCCAGACTTCACATATAATTATTTTTATTTGCCAACAATGTGTTCAAACAAAAATCCTGGAATTTATTTTCCAGTAAATGCCCACTGACGGGTCTTCATGTTAGCAAAATCACTTATGAGATCTTTAAAGTCCAATCCTTTGGCTAATTGGCTTTCAATAGAAAGAAGAGCTAGGCTGTTTAGTCTATCCTGGGACATCGTTGATCTCAAATAATTTTTCACCAGTTTCAGTTTGCTAAAAGCCCGTTCACCACCAGCAACAGTCACAGGTAGTGTGCAAAATATCCCCAGTCCAATACAAACTTCTCCAAAAATGCTCTGTAATTGCATCCTGTATAGCATTAAGCAGCTCAAGAGGAGACCGAATGTGTGGAAATGTGGCACCATATATTGTTCTCAGGTGTAGCATCTCATTCTCAAATTCAGCTGTGAGATCCTTGTAATATTTTCTCATCAGTGGCATGATATCTTCATCTGCTCTTCAGTCATGTCTGTCATGGTTCATGATGTTAAGCTTTGCTAATACTGATATATATTGATATATTAAATACATATGACATGAAATAAACCAGGTTCTCTCTGTGAATGTAATGTACTCTAAATTTTATAATCCCTGCATTATCAGCCAAATTATATGATTGTCTGTTTTCAAGATCAAATATAAAGACATTTAAAATAGGCTTAAATATCTAACCAAGTCAATAACAATCCTCTAACACCAGTTTCATCATGCTATACGAAAAACAGTGGCAGCTTCACGTTCCTGAGATTACCACCAATCCATCAATACCAAGTTTGTCCTGCTCCATGACAGGGAAGGAGCTGAAATATCCACACAGAGTGAACCTGTTTTTACTGCGAGGTCCGCGAATTAATTGGCGGCGGCCGCCCGCGATAATAATTCTGATTAATATATATATTTATATTAATTAGTGTTTTCACTGATAACACTAATTAATTTATATTTGATCTTGATGGTGAAACTAAAGGCATTTAACACTGAACACCTAACATGAATGCAGCTTCTGAGAGCTAGCTAATATCAGCTAAAACTGTGTTCTGCTGCTGCTGGCTGCTGCTCACCATCCTTCTACTTGCTTCTGTTCAATTAACTTTTCCTCCTTCTTTTCTTTTCTTTTCTTTTCTTTTCTTTTCTTTTCTGGAAGCCAGATTTGCCTTTCTTGGGAAAAGACATGACTGACTCCTGCCTCCAGCTCTGGCTGTCGGCATCTGCGATGTCTCATTAGCACATGCAGCCGTGCAGCCCCTGGCCGCTGGTGTGGACTAAACCACTTTGCACATTTTTAAGGGGTGATAGATGCCTCAGAGATTATTCAGTTATTATTTTTAAGGCGAAATTCTGTTTCTTAACCTCTTTATCCAGGTAAAGGGAAGTTTATTAAGACATTAAGTAAGTTGGGGGGAAAAAACAACAACAATAAAACATTTTTATTCAAAGCTGTCTCAGGGCCCCTCCCTGCAGTGGGCCCTGGGTAAACGGTACCCTTTCCCCCCCCAGTCCGACGCCCCTGGCTGAGCACCCTGCGTACCATGCTGTTATGCAGTATGTTATGATGCTTTCTATGGTGGCTCTGTAGAAAGTCACCAGCAGCCTCTCCTCCAGGTTGTTCCTCCTGAGCACTCTCAGAAAGTGGAGACGCTGCTGGGCCTTTTTTTACCACTGCCGTGGTATTTGCGGTCCAGGAGAGATCGTCAGAGATCTGCACGCCCAGAAACCTCATGGAGTGCACCCTCTCCACACAGTTTCCATGAATGTACAGTGGGGCCGGGTCTGCTCTGCCCTTCCTGAAGTCGAAGATAATTTCTTTAGTTTTCGTGGTGTTCAGTTGGAGGTTATTAACTGAACACCACTCTGTCAGTCTGTCGACCTCATCTCTGTGGTCCGTCTCATCCTCCTTCGAGATGAGTCCGACCACGGTGGTATCATCCGCAAACTTTATAATGGTGTTTGAGAGATGGAAAGGGGAGCAGTCGGATGAGTAGATTGTAAACAGGAGTGGACTCGAAACACATCCTTGTGGAGCCCCGGTGCTGAGTGTGATGGTGCTGGACTAGTGTGGCCCGAGTCTGACAGACTGTGATCTATTAGTCAGCTAAAGGCTAAAGCTAAAGGTCATAAACATACAGTCCTGTATCTGTAACCGCTACATCTAATCACCCTGAAGTTGTCGTGTCATTTGACTTGGCACAATTCTGTGTTTTTGTAAACAAGTTCAGTGTATAGTTATTAGTTTCACATTGAAACTTAACTCTGATTCCCTGTTTTTTGGTTTTTCTCTGGTTTGCTCTGCCACACTCAGCTGTTTTTTTGGTAATCACTCATTCTCTCAACCTGCCAGTAAATCTAGCCCTCAGTTTCTCAGTCTGTGTCTCTGTCCTGCCGACCTGTGCAGGGGTGGCCAGTCTGTTCTTGTCCAGCTGGATTTGTTACAAGAAGAATTTCGTTTTTACTTTATTCTTCATAAAACTCTTTGGTTTTCACCCGTTTGTCTGCTGCTGAGCTGAACACTGCCAGCCACTTTGTACCCTACTCTCAACCACCAACTTATTTTAAAATAAAGGGATTATTTGGGTAATGCACAGAAATCATTTAGGTTGATTGAGTTAAAGTTACAAATTCTTACAAAACTACAAAGAACATCTCACTTTACTGTAAAAAACATCTGCAATGGAGAGGCTTAGGCTCAAGAGGAAACAATTGAGCTAATCTTGGTCTTTGACCTCCACAAAACAAAAATCTGATTTGTACATTTGAATGCCAACTTAGTAAAAACCTGGTTTTATAATTCCTTTGACTAAGTGTGTGTGTGTGTGTGTGTTTCACCATACCCGTCCCATTTCTCTCAGCTTGGTCAGCATGACGACTATGGTGGAGTTGTGTTCCCACAGCATTCTCCAGTAGTCCTCTGTGGTCTCTGCTAGAGGACCTTGAGTTGCTATATACGCCCGCTGCTGCCTGCAGGGACAAGGGCCCGATACAGGCGTTAAAACCTCCACCAGATCTATTAATAACTAATCATAGCTGCTAATGTTCAGCTCTAACCTGTATCCATCAATGAAGCTGGCATTGATGTAGTCAGATCCTTCCACTCCTCTGATTGGCTGCAGACACACGCGTGTCGTCTCGTAGGGCATGATGTTCACCAGCCGGTTCTTGAACTTGTTGCATGGCAGATTGGCACTGACGAACCGTGATGTGTGAGCCTTGGCACTGGCCAGACGCTGGAAACCAAACACATACAAAACACAGAAATGTTGCAAATTTTATCCATGAAAAATAGGCATGTTCTATTTTTAAGCGCAAAACTTAGGATGTAATACTGGTGAGATGACATCCCACTCAAAGGAAATATGAATCAAAGGAAGGACAGAAAATTTAAAAAGAAACTTCACACAAATTCAAGGAGAAATTCATTCAGCACTAGAACTGGTATTCCTCTGTCAGGCCGGACAAGCGAAACTGGAAGGTTGGGTGAACTAGGCTGGCCTCCGGAAATTCAGACATCTTAAATTGGATAAACAAAGCAGGGGCGACTTCGAGGGTTCGGGACCACGGTAGGGAATGCAAGAGGGAATATAATAAGATGAATACGAGAAGAAAATCAAGAATCGGGGTTCAGGAAACCACAAGGCCCCACACTGTCTCAGCTCACATATGTGAACCACACTTGAGTCTGCACCAGCAATAACAAAAATAAAACTCACCACCCCCTCCCTGAAAAAAGACATGTTCATACGTATGTACATATGTGTGCAGACACATAACGACTCCAACAAAGACAGTCAACCATTGGATGACTTGGCCTAGAATGAAAGACAGAACAGAAGATGGGCAGAGACCGCAGACGTAGAGGAGACAATGGGGTCTCGTGAACCGGGCCCCGACCATCAGAGGCAGGGAGGGAAACAGCAGTACCTTGGTTTTTTTTTTATAACACAGGCAGACAAAGCTGGAAAATCCCACTGATCACAAGTTCACCAGGCATCTGGGCACCGTGAACCCTCCTTCCAACATCTCGGAGTCTACTTATCCTCTCTACTGAATTTGGCTCTGCATTGTCAATAAATGAACACCGGCTTCATGCATGCCAGTACTTTCTTTGAACTTAACAAGAGGGGAAAGAAAATATCAGAACCACCACATTTGTTGGTTTTCCCACACATCTCCTGTGTGAAGTCACCCATGAAAAATTCCCCACGCTTTTCTTTGCCTTTTTGTTGATTGAGAAGGAAGTTCCTGACACGACGTCCTGTAAGCGTTTGACACACACAAATCCATGGACTGGGACAACCGTGGCACATCTTTTACACTCACACAGGGCTGAAAAAACACCAGCGAGCGCTCCATTTACTGTCATTCAGAGGAGAGGAATGCCGGGGCATGGGATGAAGGGGGCTGCAAGGAGCTGAGATGTGTTGACTTTACCTTCTGAGCGACTGAGCAGACACAAACCATTCCAAGAAAAATCTAAGCCACCTGCTTTCTCTATATATGCCCCTAAAGTGGACCAGTCAAGTCCAGAGAACCCACCGGGGAAGAGGTAAACAAAATAAAAGAGAAACAAAGTAAAATAACCTTTATGTTCTCACTTGTTTCTTTAGCTCTCATGTCTGTATTTGGTGGGATTTTCAACCGCTCTATCCTTTCTTGGTCTTTTAATATAGCCTTTAAAAATGCTAAGCCAAACTCCTGCACATTTTAAACATTATAAAACCATTTTATTGTCTTGACTAGATTAAACTCCTTGTAAGAGAGTAAGACTTCTTTACTTGTTCACTATATAGTGCAGTATTTTATGAGTCTAATTTGTAGTAGTGTTGAAATCTTTCACCGTAACTTCTCACTGATTCTACGATGCCCCATAAACCCGTCAAGAGTAATAATACAGCTAGTGTACGTTAGATTGGCGAGAACAGACCATAATGCATTCCAATCTGAACTGACAGAGAATGCCAATGCTAACGGTCTTAGCTCAATAAGTTTAAAGATGTTGTTAAAGTAAAGTAGTTGTTTTCCTGCAGGATTTGGGAAACGCATAGCAAGCTGAAACGAATTTTAACACAAAAAAGAAGGAATGTGTTTGACAATTAATTTATTTGTAACGACAATGCCTCATTGGACATAAATCTTATATTGTCAGAAATGGTAAATGGTAAAATGGTAAATGGTCTGTATTTGATAAAGCGCCTTAGAGTCCTGGAACCCCCCAAGGCACTTTACAACATAATCAGTCATTCACCCATTCACACACAAATTCACACACTGGTGGGGATGAGCTACGATGTAGCCACAGCTGCCCTGGGGCGCACTGACAGAGGCGAGGCTGCCGAGCACTGGCGCCACCGGTCCCTCCGACCACCACCAGCAGGCAACGTGGGTTAAGTGTCTTGCCCAAGGACACAACGACAGCAACAGACTGCAAATAGCGTTGGGAATCCAAAACCGGTTCTTGTGGTGAACCGGGTCCTATTGTTTCAATTCTTAGTAATCATTCGGCACTTTTGCAAATGATTCCTCTTATCAATTCCATTCGGCGCGAATGATGTCACCACGCATGTTGCGTGGCTTACAGAAGCAGGAAACATGGCGTCCAAGCGGCACAAATGCTCAAAAGTTCGGTTATACTTTACAAGAAAGGATGACAACAGGGTAACTTGCAATAATTGCATAGTAGATATTTCATCAGGGGAAAGAAAATCCTTTGGGCACAAAATACGTGATAACTTGGAGTTAATGAGGTGTTCTGACCCGCTCTGGACTAGTGAGTTTCAAAGCAGCAGCAGCGGTGACATTCGCATGTCCTCTCCTGTTAACACTGCAGATAACCTATCAACTAACACTACCTATCGTGTTAGCGTCATCTACCTTATACACACATCTCCACACTAGCAGACTCCAGCGACTAAAGTCCGATCTGTGGTGAGATTGTTCCCACTCTGCAAAAGCTTCAGCAACACTGCACCAAACAAGAAGATGACTCTGCCTTCACAGGGAGCGTAAAGGAGAACATTTGGAAAGACGTTTCCAACTGAGACAGGAAAAAATGATTGTTTATCATGAATAAACCGACAGTTATAATGCAGGAGGCCGTATGCTAGTAGTTTTTTGTCACCTATTGAACTACTTAGAAGTGATAAGGAATTGGATCGATAGACTGAATGGACAATGCCTTTGATAATGATAAAAACTTACCAATTCCCACCCCTAGTCAGAAAGTCTGAATGGCCACCTTTACTATGAAGTCAAACTGGTGCATCCATGGAATGAGAAATGCAGCTAAAGATGTGGGTAACTCCAGGGGCGCAGCTAGGATTTTCAAACTGGGGGGGACAAAGTTCCAATGTACCCTCCCCCAAACACACACACACACACACACACACACACACACGCACGCACGCACGCACGCACGCACACACACACACACACACACACACACACACACGCACGCACGCACGCACGCACGCACGCACGCACGCACGCACACACACACACACTATTGCAAGCGCCTTAACTAGAGCTCAGTCAGTTTGTGTAATTTCATCCAACGGTTTACGTAAAAACTAACTTTTATATACGTGTTTGAAGCCATTATGCAACAAAGCTCTGCCTGATCAACACTATAAATGATAAATGACCCGCACTTGTATAGCGCCTCTCAGAGTAAGGACTCCAAAACGCTTTACACTACAGTGTATCATTCATCCATTCACACACACATTCACACACTGATGGTGATGAACTACGATGTAGCCACAGTTGCCCTGGGGCGCGCTGATGGACGCGCCCCACAATTTAATTCAGTCATTTGTTATTCTTCCAATCCATTACTAACCAAAACCTCATGCTTTAAGCAAAACATTAAATGATTTTCAGCGTACCGATCTTTACAGAAAACATAAAAACCCTAAAACACGGCTCATAAAATATAATAAGAAACAATATTCACGTATCACTTAGAGCAGTGGTTCCCAAACTTTTCAGCCTGACCAACAGATGTTCCTTCGTATTTTTGCGATATTTAGAACTTTTCATTATATTTGGAAAGTTTTTATTTATATACAAATATATAAAGCTCTTTTTAAATTTATATTTTACTTTTTTTATGATTATGTGACACACTTGACTTCCATACAACGCATCGGCATCTGCCTCATTTTTACAGCTTTTTTTACATAGTCGCTACGTCTGTCACGTTAGCGGTGTTTTTACCATCATTTCTACATCCATCACGTCCCAGAGAAGGTTAAACCAACATCACACCCAACGTTTGGAGCTTGTAAACTCCACACACCTCTCGTGCAGCACCAGCTGTCTGACGCTGCAGCAGCGCCAATCTTCCCGGCTGGATGAGTGAATTTCTTCATCAGAGTCAATATTCTGCATCATAATCAGAGTCAGTCATGACCAGACAAAGTGATTAGTCAGCAAAGACCAGACCTGCCAGCAATCATACGTTTTATCTAATATTTGCGCGCATCTCCTCCTCTCCCCGACTGGGAGCCTCTCGGCGGGAGGCAATTTTCAAACTCTAAAAACTCCCAAACTTTGCTCAGCCTGAAGGTTCCACATCTCCACTATCTTCTGGTGTAAAGTAGTAACTTCATGAGGGATCATATTTGTAGATGAGACTTGTTAAAGTCAGCAATGAGGCTTTGGCGCTTATAACGAGTAAGTCCTTACGCTTACTCTGTTGGTCTTTTTTAAATACGCAGTAATCGTCGCTTCATCCTGCATCCTAGCAGCAACCACTTTGGCGCATCTGGAGTCGGTGTTTGTTTACGTCATGCTGCATTCAATGTAAATGGAAAAAGGAGCTTCAAGCGCTTAACCTCCGATTTTGTTTTCTTTCTGGCCTTAGTTGGGGGGGACGGATCGGGGTCGATCTGAATCTGGGGGGGACAGATCCCCCTCGTCCCCCACCCTATCTGCGCGCCTGGGTAACTCCTTCCAAAACATCCCCAAGTCTGCTGCAACGATCTGTACTTGTAAATGTAAGGCGACTTGGTTTTTACTTTTTGCAACAGAACAGCTCTAAACAGTTTTGTGGTCGTCAACTCATTCTGACAGATTTAAGTTAGTATTTTAAACAGATACTTTTAGATCACTTGGACATTCATAATCCAAAGTTTTGGGATGGAAAAAGGATGGACCATTATTTATCTAGAGGCCCAAACTCTTCATGTATCTTAATATTAATAGTCACTGAGTCACCGAGGACAGAGTGAGAGTCCTCACCTTGAACTCCAGCTCCATGCCTGTGACATTTTCTCCTGGTTCGATCTGCGTCAGCCTCTGGATGTAGGAGTACAGGTTCCTCGCGGGGACCTCGGTGTTCCCACAGGTCACCGCCTCCAGTAGCGCATCGTGGATGAAGATGTACTGGTCCTCCGTCTGAACCATGTAATTCCTCTGGGACCGCATCAGCGTCACATGGCCGTAGATGTCAATGGTCTTCTCATGCTTGATGCGCTCCGTCATGCCGTCAATGACGACGAAGCAGCCGGTTCGGCCCACTCCGGCGCTGCACATACAAACAGAAACATAACTGTGGTCTGGAAAGATGTTTGGACAGATGGCGGTGTGATTTTCCCCACGCAGCTTGGGAGACTGTGCCGCTTCTTCTGCCCTCTAACTTACGATTAAAAATGCCAGCCAGCATTATTTCTAACAAAAGATGGGAAAATTAAAATCAGTGATGAGTCAGCATCACCTTCTCACTCGCACGGGATGATATCACCCCCATCGACATATAATCCAGAAATATAACACGCTCAGCTGCTCACCCAAACACTTCACATTTCTGCTGCGCTGGTAGCTAAATGGTGAGATGACCTGACCAAGCAAGTCTGTGCAGGAGGGGAAAATGGGCTCTTCAAATGGTTAAATTAATATCACCCGGTGTGTAAGTGTGTGTGTGTGTGTTTCTCAGGTGGAAGGAGACTTGGTCCATTGTTTGATACAGAGGCAGGTTGATGTGATAAGGCACATTATGATGGAGTCTTGCCGAGATAATTAAATCTGACTGATAATCCCGTTGGATACTCCATCTGACTGTGACAGAAGATTAGGAGGAGCTCCTCTCCTGCCCTCATCTCGCTGCCTCTTTATCTTCTCTCCAAGCACCCGTCCACAACGCAGACGGAAATTTCGCCACTTTATCAGCCGCGCATTTGTACATCTTTTAGACCCCCCCCCCCCCATTTTCTTTCCACTTTTCCTGTTCTTTAATTCATCATTTTCATTCACTGCGTCCCAGATTTGACCTCAGCCTCTCTCTCTCCTTCTGCACAAATCTCCTCCCCTGACCCCCTTCAATCATTGTCTCAATCTTCCTACCTTCCCCCTCTTCCTGCACATTTACACTAATTCTTCCTCCTGAGAGCCTCTGCATCCTTCAGCCTGTGCTCAGCTCCATCTTCTTGCCTCATTCTCTTGCTGGTAAAAGTAAAACTGCAGCTTCGATCCAGTTTTTGAGTTCTACACTCTTGCCAAGACAGTAATGACATGTTTCCAGAAACCTCCCCGATCCACAGACGGCAGCTCCTTTTAATATCAACTTATGAACTCAGATCCTCCAATGGCTTGAATGGTAAACTGTCAACTGTTAAAGCTAATTATGGCTAACCTTTGAGATGATGGATGTTGTTGGGAAAAGAATCGGAGTTTTGACGCTGGTGATGGCGGTTTGAGGTTTATAATGGCAGATAATTTTCAGTTTTGTTCAGACCCTCCAAATAATTTGAAACAAGCACCCTCGGACTCCTGTTGAGTTTTACAAACGACAACCTAAAATTACCCTCAAATGTTTTGAGAAACTGGTTTGTTTTCCTTCTGGGTTCCGTGGATTTATGGGAAGAATCATTTTTTCCTGCTGAATTGCTGATATGAAATCAAAACATTCAAACCCAGACGCACCTGCAGTGGACAATCATTGGTCCCGCATCCGGAGGGTTGCAGGACTTGACCCGGCGGAGGAAGGCCAGGAACGGGGTGGGATGCTCGGGCACCCCGTGGTCCGGCCAGGCCGTGAACTGGAAGTGACGAACCTCTCGCTTTTCATTAGAGCCGCTCTGGATCCACCAGAGTGTTAGAGAGAAAGTTATTCTGTATTCTGAGCAGAACTCGCTCACAATGCACACAGGAAACATCTCAGAAACAGTCGTAATACAGCACAACATATCTAGTTCTCGGAAAATGTTAATCAACAATATAATAAACATGTTATTAAAATGTTAATATTTTAACAGTGATGCTAAAACTTCCTGAATAGAGGTACAAATACTCATCAAAGGTGTGACAGATTATCATGTAGGGAGAAAAAAACATAAATGCAACCAATTCATTCTTTTTGTGATAAATCTTTTCTCGTGAATATCGTGTTTTGTTTCAGGAGATAAGTGAAACATAATTTCTGACCTTTCTGAGCTAACGTTCCTGCCATTTTGTGCAGCTGAAGCACACAAAGCTCATTTCAGTCCAGAATCGTGTACTCAAATATTTAGCAGTGATCCAAATGGGAGCCGTAAAGCGGAAAGAAGCAGATGTATGCAGCTATTCTGCTTTAAGTCTCAGCTGGTATCAGCCTGCCAGCCCATCGGTACATAGAGACAAAGAATGAGTGACTGAGTGAAACAGAAAAATGTCATTTACATCAAGCCTCAGTAGTAAAACAATCAGTTATGTGAAAGAATACCCCCACAATAAATATACCCATTAGTATTGGAAGCATGGACGTAATTTTTTGGGGGGGACAGGGGGGACAAGTCCCCCCCCCACTTCTTCCAAAGTCAAGTTTTGACCCCTGCACTTTTTACCATCCAAAAACAACATTACGCTATATTTAATTGACACTGGTTGAGCTCTAGGACCAAGTGGAAAACAACCGTTTGTGTTGAAGCCTGTTTCCCATTAGAGCATACTGTAAAGACCCCCCCCCCCATGTCCCCCCTACTTCTAAAGTGAAAATTACGTCCATGATTGGAAGGATAACGTCTGCACGCCACTAGCACAACTGCTCCACTTTCCATTACAACATATAACATTTTCTACAATGGCTGCTGTTTTTAAAAAATCTGTTCTTTTCAGGCTTTTCTGTGTCACTGACTCATTATTTATTCGTGCATTTGCATCTTTAAATGTATTTTTTTTAGCAGATAAATGCTCTTCTTTAAAAAAAAACAAATTTAGTCAGACTGAATGGTTTAAAGTCAGCAACATTTAGAAAAAAGCACATTTTAAGTTAACTTCATGAAAATCTGAATGCAGCATCTGGAAAAAATACACCTCTTGTGGAAGCTCTGCGTATGGATCCGCACCGCAGCCTGTGTAAATGTTCTGACTGGACTCAGTGAATTTTAGTTTTTGAGGAATGAGGAGTGAGTACTGCATTATTTCAGCTCTCTGCAGCCACAGCTTTGATGCCGGATCATTCAGAAGCTTCATGCAGACCAGCTGCAGCCTGTTCCGGTTGATATCCAGTAAAATCAAGCCAAGCCTTCTTTGTTAAACCAAGCCACATCAAGCCAAACCAAGTATCCTGATTAATAAAACTTTAGTTATTGTTGTCTCTGTGTTGGCTGAATCCTTGGGCCCAATTCTCCTGAACATGACTCAGCACTACACAAATAACCGTGTGGTAATGTTAACGTAGCATGTTGCTACTCAAGGTAGCATGATCTATTTGACAAAATTTGCTCTGGAACATAATAAAGGTTGAAGATGGTCCAAGACACACAACTGAGACAATTGAGACAAACGGTTTAAGCTAGCCTAAAGGTACTTCCGATAGGTATTGTGTGTACTAATTATACTGCAAAATGACTATGAATCAGTTCATTATGTTTCACTTTTTCATCCAGTTTCAAACGGACTATAAAGATGGACTGCAGCCAAAGCACAGTGGCGTATCAAAACGTTTTTTTCTAAAGCGTCTCTCAAGATAAAAATCATGAAGCTCGTCACAAGATAAAAAAACAATCGATTACAAAATGCTCTATTTACAGTGATCCCTCGTTTATCGCGGTAGATGCGTTCCAGACCTGGCCGCGATAGGTGAAAATCCGCGAAGTACGGACACCATATTTACAGTACAGTACTATATTGAATTATCGTATGATCAGATTCTCTTTTTGTGGGTAAAACTCAAGAAAAAAAGTTTTTACTTGTTTTTTTTTATAGTTTTATTACAAAAAGTGCATTTTATGATGAAATTGATGAAAAAAAACAGGAATTTCTTGATATTTCGCATAGAAAATCGATAGATAGAAAATCGGCGAATTTCCCTTGAATAAGGCTCCAAAGAAAAAATCCTCAAAGTCGTGAATCTGCGATAAACGAACCGCGAAGTAGCGAGGGATCACTGTAATGCCCTTTCCTGCACCTTCACTGTGATTGTGGAAGTATGACATCACTGCAACTTGACTGGATCGTTTGCAAAAGGCAGAGGAACACTTTAGATGCTGCAGATAGATGTTACCTTGTAAAGAGCAAAGGTCCTCATTGAATACGTGGCCAGCTCCACTGTGTCCAGTAGAGTGACCTGGATCAGGCCGTAGGTCTCTGTGCCTCGTGTTGGCCAGTACTGATCACACTTCACCTAGAAGGGAGCAGAGGATATGCTCTGAGGGATTGGTGAGTGTGTGCACATGGTGGTAAAAAAGGTAGAAAAGAGTGGAGGAGTGTGTGTGTGTGTGTGTGTGCGTGCATATAAAGAGGCAAAACAGAAAGAAAGTGATAAAGTAGATCAGTGTGGATGTTGATCGAAAACGTTTGCTCAGTCTAAGAAGGTGAGAGAGTGAAGTGAAAAGTGACAGGTAGAGGAATTAAAAGGATCTTCAGACTCAAGGGCTTTTACTTTGGTGAATTCATCAACTCACTACTGTGTTAAAAAACATCCCTGAAGATCGTCTGCATGTTGTCCCACTTTTCACCCTTACAAAAATCAGTAGTGAAGCTCTCAAAAAAACACCAAATCCCGTCATCCACAACCAACAGAACACTTCAAATTCCCAAGTACAGGGTAGTCATGTTTGTAGTTGACCAGCCTATCACTCAGAGGCCATGCAGGAGGGAGGAAAAAAAATCCCAGAGGAAATGAAGGAGGAGAGGAAGGCCTTGGCAGAACCAGGCCAAACCAAACGCTATGTGCTGATCCCTCTAGCCCTCACATCAAAGACAGCAGGGAGCTCAGCTCAGCTTGCTCTGCATTCCACCGCTCCAGACTGAGGATTATGCATTTTGGCCCGGGACGTTCAGGCTGTAATTACAGCTCTCCAACGGCTGTTTTCCCACCAGACCTTGAGACACTGCAGGGACAGAAATGGCTGTCCACGTAGGGGGGCTGCTCGCTGCCAGACGACTACAGAGGATTGTAAAAAAACCCAGCCTGGTGTGAAGACTGTATTAACCGCTGATTTATGGGCCAACAGCATGACTGTGGTTTGATTTGTGCCAAAAGGAAGGACCCTGGCAACGATCCCACAGCGAGACCATCTGTGATCATCTGCGTTGTTAATGGGTAAACACATAATGGTGTAACGTTGAGAGGTGTTTAAATGAGATCAAATTAATTTATCAAATTTAAACTGCAGTTAGAGAGGTGCAGCAGTGAGAGAAAATATCAAATATGTTCAGCGGAAAGCTTTAGGCCCTGTCCACATGTAGCCGGGGACCTGCCAAAACGTAGATATTTTTCTACGTTTTGGCCTGTCATCCACACGAAAACGGAGTTTTTTCACACGAAAACGGATCTTTTTAAAAACTCCGGCCAACGTGAAGATCTGCGTTTTCTCTGTTTTGGGTGTGTGCGTGTGGACAGACAAAACCGAAGTTTTAAGGTCCGCAACGTCACTTTCCGCGACAAAAAAAATGCTGACATCACGTGTGCGACCTGTGTTTACACTAGCTGACAGCATGGATGGCCTCAGAGCTGCGCTCGCTTTATCAATTGTCCAAGCACTTTTTGCTTGTTTGATTTTGCAAGCGGAATTACTGCTCCTTGCGGAAGACCACAGACGAAGGACGAGGTTAAGAACGGGGGAAGTACTGCCGCCTACAGGTCTGGCATGTCCTTAACAACGTATTTATCCGGTACGTGTGGACAGAGTTTCTTTTTAAACGCGGTGGTGTGGATGCAAGTTTTTGGAGGGGCGGATATTCGTTTTTAAAACACCCGGCTACGTGTGGACTAGGCCTTAATTGCACCTTCTAGTTGTTGTGATGAAGAGTTCAATGATGGCATTTTGTAATAAATATTAAACATCTTAAACTCTTCAAGAAAGATAGAAAAATAAATGAGCTGAAGAAGCAAACTTTTTGTGAATGGCTGCATATCAAGCCCTGATAAAACACGTACGGCCCCCTGCAGAATGCTTCTGTTTTTGCCGTATTGGGACAAAACTAAAATATTTAAGATCAGCAATCGAATTCCAATATAAGACAAAGATAATACGTATAAATTTTAAAAAGCAGTAGTCAAACAATGATATTTTTTATTAAGGTAAAAAAGCCGCCCAAACTAACCCCTCGGTCTGATAAATGGTGGCGTCATCAGTAGCATCTACAATAACTGACAATCTCGTGTCACTCAGGAGGAATCCCGTCCCACTCTTCTTTACAGACGTTCTCCATCAGGATTGTCTGCTAGAGAGCAGAATTGACGGTTCCATCTATCACAGCAGGTGGTCCAGGTCCTGAAGCAGCTAAGCAACCCCAGACCATCACACTACCACCACCATGTCTGACCAGCGGTGTGATGTTTCTAAAACAGTGTTAGTTCCTATTTTTCTTGTCGGCCGATTATTTTCCCAAAAGTGTTGGGGATCCTCAAGATATTACTATTTTCTCCAAGCATTTCTTTTCATTTTAGAACTCTTCATCTTTAGAGGCTTTTGATGTTGTTCTCGGTTCTTTGCTCCTGATATTTGTAATTAGACCCACGTTGCTTTAGAGATCTTTTAGCCTACTTCATGTTTTCAAACAGGCTTAATTAAAAATCATGTTTTTATTCTGCAGGTCTGACAGTAATTAGACCTGGCGGTTGCTAGGGAGATCAAACTGCTGATTGTGATTAATCACAATGAATCCACGACTTAACAAGTGTAGCAATGACGTTTTCCACATAGAACCAGGTTGGAATGGATAGCTGTTTTCCTTTAATAAATGAAATTATAATTTAACAACTGTATTTTGTGTTTACTCAGCTCAACTTTGTCTGACGTGGAAACGTATTCACACATTCATGAAGTGTAAGCTCTGCACAGCTTCGCATTGCTAGCCTGGCCTGCCAAACTCATCCTCTGTCTATTCTACACAGAGGACGAGTCTGGATACTCAGCGGCAGAGAGCACCATAAGGGGCGGGACTAGCCAGCTCAAAAATAACCAGTCAGAATGAAGGCGGAAATGCCGAGTGTACCGCCGTAGTTTATTAGCTGTAGTCAAAGATGGCATCAGGCGACGGCGCAAACATCTTTCTTTAGAAGAAAGGCATTTAGCGCTTCTTCTTCTTGTGGTTTAAAAACATGTCCAAGTCATTCAGAACAGAGGAAAGTGCTGCAGAAAACTCTGCTTCAGACGCCATCTTTGTTGTTTATGAGAAACTCTTGGTGTGTGACGTACGCTGCTCAGAGCGAGAGTTTTCTAGCCTAGTGAACTAGACCAAATTCTTGCTTTGCAAAGAATGGTCTAGGCACGCTCCATTGGAACCTCCGCGGCTCCTACCAGGACTATGGCTAGCCAATCAAGGCTCTCTAGAGGGGTTTCAAACACATAAAGAGCTGTGATTGGTCCATGATGGTGGGCCAATCATAGTGCTCTATCTGCTTAGTGAACAAATCACAGAGCTTTATCTGCTTTGTGGGCCAATCAGGGCTCTCTATATGCCTGGTGGGTGGGATGATGCAACAGAGTGAAACAAGAGTATGTCACATTCATTGTCCAGTGGAATGCGGAGATCATTTGAAAGACAACGTTAGAACCCGCCCCACAACCGAGAGCCGTCAATGGAGCATTGCCAGACTAAATAATACATTTATTTAGTCTGGCTTGCCAGGCTAAGAGTTTTCAGGAGGTGGGGTTATTTGAATGGGAGTGTTACCAGGCCATGGCTGGCCAGGCTACTGCATTGCTATAAAGTCACAAAGCTGGGGAGATAACTGTGGTGTGGGCATGCAAATTATGTCATTTTACGTAAACTGTGTCTGAACTGCAGTGGTCACAGTGAAACTCAAGTCAACTATGAGTGTCTTCGGTGAAGTGGAAACAGGTCTACAGCCGGCTGGTACTCATAAACAGCGGGAAAAAAAGAGGGTAAAATGGAAAAGGGGGGGAGGAGGGTGTCATGTGAGGTAAAGTTGCACTTACAAAGGGGTTAGAAAAGCAGTGAAAGAGAGGTCTTGCCTTAGAGAAGAAAAAAGAGGGCATCTGAGGGTCAGAGAGACACAACAGAGACGGTTGGAAAAGGTTGAGAAGGAAACAGTTTTAACACAATTTAATAGGAAAAAAGAAGCACAGGTGGGAAGAAAGGATCGTTTCTGTAAAGGATTTTTGGATATAATTGGTTAGCAGTTAATCATGAGTTTCACCTCAGGCCATTCTTGTTCATTTCATTCTTACATGACATCCTCATTACACTGGATTTCCACTCAAGCGTACATTCAGTTAACAGCAAAACGCCTGGAAACCAAATGACTTTTTAATTCATTACCGACCCCAGTTTAGCTGTGTCTCTTAATCCCCCGTCGGCCTCGCTCACCAGTAGACTCTATCCTGCTCCCTTCTATTGTGATCTGCTGCATGACGCTGCGTTTACTTTAGTCTTTCTGGAAGCTCTTGAACAAAATCGTTTTCAGCACAATTAACAGTTAATAGTGTTATTTTCAGCTCATTTCGTAACAATTAAAACACCTCAACAGTGAGATATCTGGAGACTTGCCTACTTTCCCACCAGAGTAGCACCGTTTGCCCTCTCCAGCTCCTTACGCTGCCATTCATCACTCTAGTCTTACAACGCTCAGCGCACCATTTGTCTCTTTCTTTCTTTGTGTGTGTGTGTGTTTGTGTTGAGGCATGTGCTAACCATTTCTGTTATCCCCATAATGATCTGCCCCCCCCCAACACACTATAAAAAGCAACCTATAGAAACTACCCAATAAAATTGAGGTAACAATTTGCTTAGTTAATTTAAACACCATATATGTTTGTAAATAATACCTTATATTCAAAGTTAAGAAATACTTAAAGGAATTGGGTAAAATCTAACTGACGCTTATTAGTAAATATTACCCAATTTCCTAAGCTAGAAAATTATAAAATAAATTGGACACATGCTGAAGCTAGGATAGATCCTGCAATCCTCCGCTTTCTGGACCACCTGCTCTACCTCCTCAGCTATACTGCTGCCCAATGTAATGCTGGTATGAATAAGAATTTATTCCATCAAAAGCAATACAAAATTAATATATTTCTGTTTTACAAAAGCTGAACTGAATTCACTGTTGCTCAAAAATTTTTTTTAGACATGCTAAAATATTTCCCTTAAAATGTAACTTCACCTGTAACTGTAACTACATGAATACTTGAATTAGAACGCTAATATAGCACAGAACTGTACACAGATAATCTGGCCAACATGTACAATTGTTATTTTTGTTAATTAAAAAAAAGGGTAATCCAGCAGTGCTGGACACATTTTTTGGGTAAGTCTACTCATTGAAATTGGGTTCTGCTAGTTAATTAAATAAAATAGGTAGAATGAAGTCATTTTTAAAATTTCGGTCTTTAACTAATATATTTAGTCACATTTTAGAAGATTTTATTGAGTGATATTTAGCATTCCAAACAAATCAGTTTTTTCAGTGCACTATCCTTCTTCTTGCGCTCCTTTGACCTTTTCTTTTTCACATTTACATTCATGGTTTTGGCAAGCTGTTTTGATTCTATCCCCATCTCGGCTGTTTCTTTGCTCCAGCTCCAGCTTTATCCTGTCTTACCCGTGACTTCTCCTCCAGCTTGGTCATCATAATGATGTTGGCTGTGTGCTGCTCCCACACCATCCTCCAGAAATCCCCAAACGTCTCAGGAAGGGGACCCTGAGTGGCGATGTAGGCGTTCTGGCGGCGGTAGCCATCGATGTAGTTTGCGTTGATGTAGTCGCTGCCGGGTACGCCTGAACAATTAGACAACAATTGGATCTTGTGAAGTAAGAAACAGAGAGACAAAGGATTTGACTGCACAAAGCAATTTTACTTTCATGTATTTATTCTGGTATACAGTGATGAAAGGGAAATGGATTATTTAAATTCGCCTGCTCTGACAGAAGGTTTATGTCAAAAATAATAAAGGCCGAGAATCATCTGAGGTCACGGTCGGGAGCTTCATCTTTCACAGTGTCCTCTGGTGTTGGGATTGTTCTCTCATCTTGTTTTATTATGCATGCTAAGACGATCACGGGACTAATCGGTGTCTCCTCTGGATGTGTCGCTTACAACGGCAACATGACTGCAAGGCTGTCTCCGTGGAAGACTCGGCTGCCTGTTCTGGAGGGGATTGTGTGTGAGGAGTGTGATGTGGGAGACTGTGTGAGTTTGATTTAGGATCAGGCCTGCTCATCTAGGGCCTAATACCATAATCCTAAAAATCACTGAGGCACAGCTCAAACACACACGCACACGCACACGCACACACACACACACACACACACACACACACACACACACACACACACACACACACACACACACACACACACACACACACACGCACCAAAGACCTGCAAGCAGTAACCCATGACCCTTTTTGAGTCTTCTGATACGTGTTTACATTCAAAAACATGGAAATCAATGAGCAAACGGTAGAATCCCCAGAGAGGCAAACTGTTGCAGGTGATTCTCTTGAAGGGTCTTTCATTACGAGCGTGACTCAGACCCGTGCAGCTGTATAAAACATCCCGATGCATCATCACACACCATTCCTTTTAATTGAAAAACAAGTGGCGGGGGGGGGGGGGGGTTGCACAAAGTGGTGCCAATGGGTTGGGGATGGACAGTAAGACAAGCTTCAAACGTATGTTTATCAACTGCATGAGTCTTTAGAGACAGCTCGCCTCAGAGCTTTGATGTGCTTCAACTTTATTGCAAGGGACTGCAACGGAAGCATGCAGACAACACACACACACACACACACACACACACACACACACACACACACACACACACACACACACACACACACACACACGCACGCACGCACGCACGCACACACGCATGCACGCACACACACACACACACACCACCCCAGTTCTCTTGGTGGATGCAGTAGCTTGGCGGTGCGTGTGTCTACATGAATGTGTGAAGGAGACTGGGAGCAGAAAAGTGCATATCTGCTTGTGCACATTCTGTGTGTGTGTGTGTGTGTGTGTGTGTGTGTGTGAGTGAACGAATGTGTAATACGATTGTGCGTTTGAGAGTATATGTTTTCTAAGCTGAAAGACAGACGGGCTGCAGGACGGGCGGGGGTGGAAGGACTCCTCACACATGCTCTGCCCAGATAAGGCTCATCTGTTTGGGCCTGGCCTCCCACTGCCTCCCTCTCTGCACATCGGAGCAGCCGGTTGTTTCGCCTCAGGTCTTCCCCAGCTGAGGTGGGTGAGTGTGCATTTCGAAGCACAAGAACAGAACTAAGACCGTTTTGTTTTTTCATTCCCATCTCAAAGGACCTAATGCAGAGAAATAAGCACCCAGATCCGTCTGAACTACGTGTTATCAGAACTGAAGTCCTCACATGTTTAAATGAGTGAGGCTAAATGGTGGGAATTGTAGTTTTTATTCACAATATGTTTATAAAAACCATCTTCGTATCATTAAATAGTCACTGGATGGTTGTTCACAAAATACTTATTTGTGCAAATACATACTTGAATTGTTGATTTACTAAATTGTAAAAGACATAAATGCTGAAAATGAGAATGCATTTCAAGTATTATGATCACTGCACCTAAAGATGTTTTTATTTTCCACTAGACTCGACAGTATTAGTGTTCGTGAGTTTGGTTTTTGCAATGCAGAGTTGTTGTTGTGTGTGCAGCTCTTCAGGGCCCAAGAGCTCATGGTTTTCCAGAATTAATGAAGGAACTTCATACTCTGCCCTGTCTGTAACAGAAATACAGTTTAGACACCAGGATAATGTAGCTGGAGATTTAATGGAGTTCCAGATGGTGTGTTGGAGCCAGAACCGTGTGAGATTGATGGCTGATAGCAGTTCCTTGGGTGTATGCAGCTGCTTCTGTACCACCACCACCACCATCATCATCATCATCAGTAGCAGCCTCTAGCTCTGGCACAGACAGAATGCCAGGATGTCAGCATGTGAGGCGGAAAGAGCCAAAGTGATAGAACGGTGAGATATCAGACTCCACATCATCATGGACTGTTTTCTATCCTTCTCTATCGTTTGATCATTTTATGGTAGTGTTTTTTTATCCTCTCCGTTTCTGTCACCAGAAAACACATTAATAGCCTTCTGCCAAAAGGCAAAAAGGAGGATACACTTCTATGTCTGAGTGCATGTTTACCATACCAAACAAATTTTCTCATGAACCACTCACTGGATGGATCGTGATTCAGTTTTTTTTTAAAGTACAGGTGAAACTGTAAAATGATCATGCTGAGAGACCATCTAAAGGCTCAGGAACCTTTGCAGGTGTTCTGAAGTCATTAGATGATTAGAGTGTGACACTTTCTAAAATATTGAACATTTTCACGTTATTCTAATTGTCTGAGATTTTATATGTGCAGCTTTCCATAATTATCACAGTTCTAACAAATAAAGGCTTGAAAAATCTGGCTTTGCATGGAATGAGTCTATCTCATACATATGTTTCACTTTTTATGTAAAATTACTGACATAAATCAACTTTTGCACCATATTCTAATTCTTACAGTTTCACCTGTAATTATTAAATACAATTATAATGCAACGGGTTGCCTTATTTGGTGAAAACTTGATTTAAAATGGTCACCCCAGTTAATCAATATTAGTGAGCACAAAAAGGTTTCAACTTGCATTTTATAATGTAGCAGAAGCAAACTCACAGATGCGTCTTATTTTAAAATAGCCATTCTCCTCTCTGTGCTCATCAGCTCATAATTAAATGTCTGTAACTCCTGTCTATATTAAAAGTTTTTATTATTATCAGAACTTTCAGTAGATCTGTGTTTCTTATTAAACTGACCCAGTGAATTTTACCCTCCACCTTTATGTCAGGGTCTGCGTCTGCCCTCTCCTTTATGTGTCTCCTGGTGTGTCTCCATCCTCTCTAGATTGCCTTTTGTGTCTCTTCGCGCCCTCATGTGTCCTTTGTCTGCATATCAACTATGTGTTTTCTGTTTGTAGGCATTCAATCATCCCCATCCCCTCCAGTTGTAGCTCCGGCCTCTTTGTCCCCAGCTCTGTGTCTGTGTGGGTGTGTGAGTGTATGTATGTGTTTGTGTGTGTGTGTGTGTGTGTGTGTGTGTGTGTGCGTGTCCATTCCCCAATTCAGTGTGTGTGAGTGTATTTTGGTGTGATTGTGTGTGTGTGAGTCCTTCCCTCAGTCTTTTAGTTCAGTTTTGTGTTTATCTGCCCTCCTTTGGTTCTGCTTCCCCATTTAGATGATTGTTGTCCCCTGTCTTCCCTCCAGCCCTCACTCCACACACCTGCTTCCTGTTTCCCTAATTGTTCCTCCCAGTCTATTTAAGCCCTGTCTTGTCTCTGTATTGTCGATCCATTATTGTTTGTCAGCGTTGTTTCATGCTCTAGTGAGCTTATGTCTCTAGGTTTTGTTGCTCTAAGTGAGCTTTCGTACTCCTGTTGTTCAGGACTTGGTTTCTGGCTTCCTCCCCTTTTTGGATTTTTGGTTCATCACCTAATAAAAGGATTTTACTTTTAAAACCACTCCTGCCTCGTGTCATCCTGGGTACTGCATTTCTGGGTCCAAACCATCCTCTCAACGTGACACTATATCTTGCACTGAAGTTCCTAATCTATAATTCACCCAGCTCCCAAACCCATCTCCCAAAACAACATATCTAATCAAATTTCTTCTGCTAACCGAATCCAAGCTATAGCATTTCAACAACGGACATTACAAAAAAATGACATAAGCTCTTTAAAATTTAATATCAACTACACCCTCCCTTACAGAGATTAATAAGAAAAAAATGGATCAACACAGTGAAAATGTGTTTTACCCTCAATGCTGGAGAGAATAACCCTCGAGTGATCATAGGCGATGACGTTAGCATAGCGATTCTTTGGCTTGTTGACTTCCAAGTTGGAGTTTTCCCATGTGAACTGCTGACCTGGATCAACGGACTGCAGGAGAGTAAAGACAGAACAAATGACAAAAAGTTAGACATGTTTTGGTATTACTAAAATCTGCGGGTTTCAAATGGAAACTCGGGCACACGTAGAGTTCAACACTGACAGCTGGCCACAAAGTGGATGATGGGAATAGAGAAAAAGCTTCCATTAGGTAAAAATGCTGTTTAGAAACTTCTCTGTCTCTTGTGTTTTTGAAGCCCTTCGCCTAAACCTAAAGGGTGATTTAATTCAGTGTAACAATCCTTGAAAATTCGGTTGGAAGAAAAAAAGCTGTAATTTCTAAATAGATACCAAAAGGCTGAACAATAAAGGTGAAATTTGACCTCTTCGTTTCACTTTAGTAACAATAAAAACGTAACGTTTTAGTGACCTGGCAAGAAATACTATATATGTGTGTATTTATAGTCTTTCCACAAGTCATTGAATTTGTCTTTCCAACTGTCTCAGCATGCAATTGGACAGCGCTAGGACCAATCAGAGCAATGAAAAATGTGATGTATTCATCGTTACAGAAAGCAGTCAACATGGAAGTCCACCATGCACCATCAAAGAAGAAAAAGCAGAAGAAGAAGCAAATATGTTATTTTTCTCAACAACTGACTTAAAGAGCAAGTCACTCCCAAATCCACAGTTTTTGCCTTATAAACTACATAAACGAGTGTCTAATCATGCTTTAGACACACGTGGTCAATAATTTGGCACTTAAGTGCATCTTAGTTAAAATTTAAATATTCTGCCTAAAACTGTCAGTGTCACTGTCTTCAGGTAAAAACTCTGCACTGCATTTGGATTTAAATCTGCCATCGCTGTTGGCTAAGAGATACACTGAAGCCCCCTTCAGACAGGCCATGAAAAACGGAAATGTTCCGGACTCTGTCCATAAGACCTTTGTGTCTGAATACAAACATCCGGGTAAAGTTTCCCGTAATTTAACCGGACGACGCCCCTAGTAACAGGTCCGGACTTGTTACGGACAAGGTGGCTGCTTCAGACTGGTGAGGTCGAGTTCCGGACAGGGAGGTGGGGGAGGGGCCCGGGGGATGCTGTGCGCACCTAGGTAGTGCGCTGTTGTAGCATGTGGAGAACCACGGCAGCTCGCCTCCTACGGTACCGTCTAGACGCGCGACGGAGCGCTTCACACCGCTTCAGTGATTCCTTTAACCATTGAGCTTCATCATCCAGGTCTCTTATGCATCTTCGTGTGCGCAGAATTGTGCTTAACATAAGTCCAATTCCCCCCCCTCAGACATCTGGAACTTTTCCCTGCTGTGTGAAGGCAGCCGAAAGGACAAGTTCCGGTACTAAAGTGGTGTGTCTGAAAACACAGTTCCGGTTAAAAACCGGATTGAATTGTCCGCACATATTCCAGAATGTCTATCTGAAAAGGGCTTAAGTCATTAGCTGGTACATTATGATGTCACAATGTCATTGTGCGCCTGTGTGTGTGTGTGTGTGTGTATTTGTTAGCGGCTTCGCCCTCTCGGTCTGCCAGGCAACAGCATTTGTCACTCGCGAACTTCAAAGCGGTCCTTTTCACACCGGGAGAGTCTTGGCCGCGGCATGGCTTCCTCGCTGTACCCGCGAGATTCTAAAATCCCTCGAGACTTCCGACACCTTCCTCATCGAGAGATCCCAACTCCCGCGAGGAATCACACCGCTGCACTTCTCGAAAGAAACTGGTGGTAAACAAAGCCGTTCGGTGACACATACTTTCTTAAGTTATACATAACATCGCAACGTTGCATTTTATTTTGAAAATAACCGGGGATTTTACACTGAAACCGTGTGTGGTTTCCTGTCCCGCACTATGTGAACTGCAGAAATTGACGTGTCCCAGAAGCGGCTCGCGGAAAAAATAGAACTCGATCCTATCTTTAGCGGCGTGGCATGCCGCTTCTGGGACGCGCCTGGAAATTGTCACTTTGCGGCTGGTTTGAAACACTCCATAGACTATAACTGGATTCTATTTGAAGTGGTGCCGCTTCGCTGCCGTTCCGTTCCGCTGATGCTAGCAGTGTGAAACCAGCTTGAATCGCTGAAAGTTTATAACAAAGTGCTTTCAAATGAGCGCCGTTCAAGAGGCATCCCCATCTTTGTAGTTTTTCAGAGGTGGCTTGGGCATCTGGTCAAGATGCCTCCTGGACACCTCCTTGGTGAGGTTTTCTGGGCATGTCCAACTGGGAGGAGACCCAAGGGAGGGCCCAGGACACGCTGTAGGGACTATGTCTGTTTGCTGGCCAGGGAACGCCTTGGGATTCCCCCGGAGGAGCTGTCCCAAGTAACTGGGCAGAGGGAAGACTGGGCGTCTTGGCTTAGGCTGAACTGACTAAATTGACAATAAGTCCCGGTTCCATCTGATGCTCGATGCTCAACCCTACTGATAATCAAAATATCTAACCTAAATGTTTTGATTGGTTGATGTCTGCCTGAGGTAAACGGTGTAACGTCACAAAATGGCCTGATTTTGAGACCCACAGGTCAAGTCCACAGCCAGGTCATTTTGCCCTGGCTACGACTCCAACCTACAATATTTTCCCTCACAGGAGACTGAAAGCCTGACGCCCTGAAAGAGATAATAAAATCAAACAATAACATTCTCTCCTACCAAGGTCCCTTTGCAGAGGAACTCACTAAATTAATTCTGCGATGCACAGAAGAAAGAAGGAAGAAGATTTTACAATTAATGATAATCATTAAATAAACGTTTTTTTATTGCTACTTATAATAATTATAAAACAATGAAATGTTTCATTAATCTGTGCTTAATGATAAATGCTTAGCATGTTAACTTGACGAGGTTATCACCATTTGCACTCACACAAAAACAAAGTAAAGTGAACGCATGACACACAGTTAACCTTTCAGAGACTCCGGATCAAGGAGGGTGTGTCTCTGAGATTCTTGGGAACTCTTGGTAATGTTCCTCAAACTTGTCAACATTTGGTTGGCTATTCAATAATAACATCGTCTATTAAAACTAGACCACTCTGGGTTTTCTGGAGTTCGAGAGCAAGCTTCAGACCGGCCATCTGAGCAAAACCTCTTTAACCATCAAGGATTTTGACACGTCGTCAAAACCTTTAACTTTTCCGCACCTGCGAAGCTGATAGCAGCAAGATAGTTTCCGGCAGAGCAAAGCTGATATTGCTACAACTCCTTAAGAGTTATTCCTGAGACGCAAGCTAGTTCCAACTGTCGTCACCTGGAAGATGACCCTGGACTGACCTGGTCGTACGAGGAGTTAGTCTACGGACTCCGGGGTCTCCGACACCCCCCTGACATCTCGGATCCAAAAGGGTGTCTCCACTTGGGTACGTAGAGCACAGCGAGATTGTAAACAAACCAAATTCTTTTAAATCCAGAACTCAGCTCTCTGAGATACGGAGATCCTGACTACATTATTCACACACAGGTTCCAGACGCATCTTTTAGTTCCACCCACTCACAGTAAATAATAGTTTAACCAATTTGTCAAGTTTTAATTGTTTGTAAAAATAAATTCTTACTTTTATAAACCTGACTGTTTCTTGAATCAAAACAAAGTGCGTACAATTCCCCAATGAATAAAGAATCCTAGAATCTTCTGACTAAAACAAATAAAGACCAGGCAAGGTGATATTCTATATTTAAACAGGGTATCACAGATTATTGGTCTCAAGTGGTGTTAATAATATAAATAGCTCTTAAAGCAATTGGCATAACCCAACACACTATTTATTAACATTACAACGGTAATGAATCCTTTAAGTCAGTACTCCTTTTCAAAGTTCTGCACAATTCAGTGTCAAACAGACTTAATGTGGAAATTGTGAAGTGAGGATTGACCTTCCAGTTGAACAGCCTGCAGAAACCTGCACATGCAAAAGATTTCAGATCTTTTGCGTTGCTAACACTGTCCAACAGCTCCAGATCTACAAGCTGCTATCAAAAACCAACTACAAATTAAAGATCAGCACTGCTTTACTGATAGCAGACAAGAACATGGGTACTTATGGTGTCCTATTGCAAGAAAGACTTTTCACTTCCACCAGAGAGGCTACCTACTAGGGAAAGATGATAAAAGCACAATACATTTCCACTGGAGGAAGAGGATGGTTGTGTGGGACCATTAAGCTCCTGGAGGGTAATTACAGTGTAACCGTTGCTGTTAGCTGGGAGAAGCAGACATGAGGTCATTACAGGGCTGTCAATGGAGAGGCACAAAGATGGGAGAGCCAGAGAAATTTAGCAATTTTGAATATTTTACGACACATAATTATGGTTTTGTGGGGGAAAATGGACAGGAGTGGTGCTGGATAAGTGCGTGGATGTGTATGGCGAGGTTTGAGGCGGCTTTCTCCGTGCTGCCAGCATCGAGTGTGTCTGATTATCACACCACAGTCATTTCTGGCCTGCCTCCGTCCCCCTTCCCTCCATCTCTCTAGTTCCTTCGTGAGGGTTCAGAATGGAACAAAGTGCACAGTCATGCAGAGGGAATGCGAGGCCCGGCGGAATGGGTCCAACGATAACCACACAGCCTCGTCCGTTTCGACCAACGCTTTTCTCCCGTAAAACACCCTTGTTTTGTTTTTCCATTTTTCGCTTAATCTCTCCTTGTTTTCCTCCACACATCTGTCACACACAGTGTGCCTCTGTCCTGCGGCAGCAGCCAATTAGAGCCGTATGTCTCCGTCCTCACCCGCAGGCCCTTTGGTCGGCACCGATTCCTGCTCTTTTTTTTTTTTTGCGAGCAAAAGAAAACATTTTTACCCGTTTAACAGATCTCTGTGGAGCTCACTGTAATGCCAGCTCCTGTTACTAAAAAAGCCAGCACGTTTTGAGATATTTCTGCTGATCTGTGTGCTTTTCATTATTGAGCTCCACAGTTCAGCACACCAAGCCCGGGCTCACCGTTGACGCCATTATTGCTCCGTATTAACGGAGCTGCGAGTCGAAGGAAACTAATTAAGATTGTGTGTGTGTGTGTGTATTTCTTGCCCCCCCCCCCCCCCCCCCCCCACCCGGAAGCTTCGTGATTTCTATTTTCTCTGTCTCCACCAGAGCGTGGAAACGAGAGCTTGATAGCCATCTGGCTGAAAGCAAACCGTCTTTGAGCTTGAAATTTAAATTTCCCTTTCATATGTGCAAAGATAACGACAAGACAGTTAAAGTGACGAGAGAACGTTTTATCTTGTATGAAGTCGACAAAACAAAATGCGACGTCAAAGCAGGATATGCTGAAATTGAAAAAATGACACGTTGCTGATAAAGACAAGTGCCTGCAACAAAATTGGATACATTTTCCGAGTCGGAGGCAGATAATCAGGATTCTCACCTCGTACTCTTGAGAAAACTTGAGATTGTCATTTGCCTTCAGGCGCTCAACGTGATCTGCCAACTCGGAGATGGGGACGGGTGGATGACTGGCCATGCCTGCAGAGCACAGAAAAAAAAAAATCAGAAACAGATACCACCTTGTTGAACCATTCTGGAGGAAAATGTTAAAAGCAGGAAGTCTCTATGGAGGTGTTGTTTAGTGTTCGGCCCATGGTCAACGCAGGAAGCAAATGGAAGTGGGTTTTTCTTGTTGTTAAGTGACTATTTTCTCTCCAGACGGACCGGAGAGAACAATGTGTGAGTTCAAAAAGCCACCGAGACACAAAAACATGTCCTCGGAGAATATGAACACCGCTGGTGAGGGTACAAAAACAGAAAAAGGCAAAGGCACAGCCGGTTATAAATTAAAAATGATTTCCTTGTGATTTTGAAGTAAGTGGCGCTGGTGAAATGTCGTCAGTTGATGCAGCTTCATCCAGCATGGAGCGGATGGTTAGAATGAAAATAGAACGGACACAAACAGGAAGAAGGAAAGGAAGGACTTTGGAGCTGACTAGACCAACTAACTTGACAAACGCCGATAACCGCGGTACACTGAAACATGGTAAGCTGGAAGAGGAAAACGACACGGTGAACCTCATCAGCACAACTAATACAGACTACATAGGCTAGGTTGTCAGGACGTTTCATTTCTACCTGGAGTCTGGAAATTGATCCTCCGGAGCTCCACGGGATCTGTCGGATGGTGGGAGGACATGGCTTTGCTGCAGGGAAAACTGCCTTTCCTTCCCTCTGCCTCGGCCCTTTTCCTAAAACAATAGACACAATTCACCTCAATGCGAAGTCCTTAAAATCACCTGGCATGAAATTCAGAGCATACACTAGCAGCCTACGCTCTAAAAACACGTCTCTTGTCTCTGTTATATCGACCATGTTGTGTTTGAATTGGCTTCGGTGGTAAAGGGTGTGTGCAGAGCAAAAGGTGGTAGAACACATGGGTCATAATCCAATCTCCAAACCATCAGCTCAAGTCTGACAAAGACATCACATTTATTACTGTTATCCAAACATTTCCAAGCCTTGCCCTTGATGTTTGCCATGTAGCTATCTGATGACTGAACCAGAAGCCCAGAGATAAGCCCTCAAGGGCTCACAATAGCCAGCAGGTGCTCACTGATTCAAATCCAACTCTGAAAGGAGCTAGGTTTCATTCAAAGCAACAAATTATGTAATCATCAGGAATTTTCTCTAATTTTCAGCCTTTTTAAATGCAAATAAGTGTCTCATTGTCTCAAAGTCGATGCTGACTTTCTGCTTTTATCACTGCCAAAAAGTCAAACTCATCCATTCTTGCCTTTTTATTCACCAATAGTGAACAAACTCATCTAGAAGCTGCTTCCATTCGAGTTAAATCTAAGTGATGTAACACTGACTTTATGGCTGCTAATGTACTGTTAGCGTGTTTGTGCACTCATAGTTGGTCCAAGCAGCATCACTTCAGTCTATTTTCTAAAGCATTCACCGAAAAGGCTTTTTAGGAAAAATGCCCCGTAGGCCAGAAGAAATGGTTATAAGGAGCTCTTGTTTACCTGTCAGGTTTGCTGGATCCAAACGAGGAGACGAGGAGATAAAAGAACAGACAAGGATGAATACCATTAGAGTCCGATCAAAGGGCCGTTAGAGACCAAAGCAATGCTGAACTCATCGTTTTTCCTTCTTCACTAGTCAGCTTCTCTGTACGATGTCAGACAAAATAAAACCAGTGGACACAAAAACCAACAGTGGATGTAAGTGCAGAAGAAAAAAAACTCACGCACGTTCAGCTAAGAACCCAGAGGAACAATGGCACAGGTGGAATTTAGTGAGACATAAATATCTGTACACTCCTCATTTTATGATCATAAGATTATCATCATCAAGGTAATAATCTGACGAGGCTCATCAGTTCCAGTTATTAATGATCTGCATTAGCAAGCCTGTAGCCAGAGGACTCCATAATTAGCATGAATAATGCTAATGGCTGATAATGGTATCTCTTAGGCACTCAAATGCTGCTTGCTACACATTATATTAAGTTTCTGCTTTAAAGACAAAAAATAATCACTACAAATTACCGCGGTAACACCTGTTCTGATTGTTTATGTCCAACAGGACTGATGTGCTAAAGGCTAGCCGGAGGATTGCTGTGACAAAACGATACTGCAGCCATCTTAAAAGGGCTCCAGTAATTTCACTCCGCACCACTGATGTAAAAATGGTTCATAAAGTTATATTTGTATAAACTGCTATCAAACTTTCAAGACTGGAGGATTTAGTCGGTCCTGAAAAATGTAAACCAGCTGTGTCAAACTCATTTTCAGCCAAGTCAACCTGATCTTTGGCCAAATTAAATTTAGTTAAAGGCCACAAGGCCCCAAGTTGTACAGCACACTTTACCCACATGTACAGCACTAACGGTAGGTTTTATCCCGTCAAAAGATCAATAAAGATCTTCATCCGGCACTCGCAGAGTACAGACGCTTCTGCTTTGCTCCCTTATCTTTTTTTCCCAAGGCTCTTTGTCCTGTCTGCATACAGAGAACTTCTCTGCATTTCTTCTGGAAATCCCTATTTTTTGGAAGTGGATTTAATTAATTGGTCATTCAACGCAATTGATAAGATCTTTTCTACGATGAGAACGGAGGAGGGGGCTCCCACTTGCCTTCAAGGGACACACGCAGCGGGATATGCGCTCGATTCCTGGAAGGTCTGGAGGATACTTTGCCTCTCTCAGTTGTCCATTGAGGATGTCGAAGACATGTGGATATTTGGCTTGATGATCACTGGATTTCCTCTGATTGGAGTGGGTGGATATCTGGTTTTCTGGAAATTTGGGGAGACGGGAGCGATTGGAGTGCGACCCGCGCCCACGGAAAGCACCGCCCGGGCGGTGACCTCACAGACTGGGACGTTACTCGAGGTGAATCGTAAGCTGGACAATGTCCTTGCTGCGTTACCGGTATTAGTGCGCAAAATGGATGTCATCTTGGAGAAGATCACCGGACGGTGTGGGGATGATTAGCACCTAAATTGTCTTCACTGGAGGACTTGAATGATCAATATAGACTTTAAGGCAGAGAGGAAAATTATCTCTGCCTGACCCAAACAAAGTCTTGTTATCCAAATCTGACGCCAAGGCAGCCTTGAGCTGCTAACAACAACCCCCACGAAGGAAGGAATGCAGACAGATGCTGTGAAAACCCGTCCTACCCCCCGCCTTCAGATTGTGGACTTCTGCCTAGCGAGGTCATCAACCTGCAGGAACTCAAATGTGCTCTGCGCTCCTCCAAGATCTCCCTCCCTCCTGTGGATACAGCTGGCTGAGCGCCACACAGGGCTGCTCGCCCTGGGGAAACAGGATACCAGCCCCCCCCCAATCGGAGTCTCATGTCGTGAACTGTGATGTTCGTGCTTATATGTTTGAGGCGTTTTTTTTTGCATAGTAAAGCTACGCCCTGCCGGGAGTAACTCTGGTATGCCTTTTTTTTCCCTCCCCCAATTTATCCTTATGTCATTCCCTTTTCATCTTTTTAAGGTAGCGCGACTCGTGTTGCGAAGGACCACAGTCACCAATTCTTGTCATGTGTCTTGCCCATCTATGTCTGATCTCTGAATTGTGTGTACTGAAACTCAATGTCATTTCTCCGTGAGTCTTGCACATGTGGTAGAATTGACAATAAAACTGACTTTGATAAAACATTTACATTCATCCCCGTCCTCCCATCCTTACCTTTTGAAGAGCAGAATGGCGATGACGATGCAGACGATGAAGATCACAGCCAGAACAGGACCCACCACCCACAACAGCCCCTCCTCCTCATCAATAATCGGCTGAGGATCCACATCCGATGAGGTCACGGGGTCAGAATAAGGGCTTGTAGAATACATTGTCTGCAAAAACAACAAGAAAAAAAAGTGTTTTATGCACTCTTAACATTTAAGAGACAACATTCAAGACGCTTCTCAGCCAACTTAGCGCTCACTCACATTTTCAGAGAGGTCAAGAAGCGCAAGCACAAAGAAGACGTACTCCTGTCCTCCCAGGAGAGGACGGTTGCGGAAGTCACCGTAGTTTCGACCATCACCCAAGGTGAACTCCAGGGGGAGGGTCTTAAAGTGAGCTGTAACATAGGCTCTGGGATCTGATTGGCTAGCTTGTCTTCGGATGCGAAGCGCCCGGCTGACGCTGGTCCTGTTGATCTCTTTAAGGAGCTGAAGTGGAGGTGAGCAGATGATGGTTAGATGGAAAAAAAAGAAAGGTGGGAGCAGAAAACAGGATGAAGAAAGTATAGAATTGCAGAAACAGGAATGGACGTAAGGTGTCTATTACAGCAGAAATAGAGCGTGTTCAAATAAAGTGCATCATCTGTGAAATTTCTTCGATACAGTGAATTTAATTGTAAAATCACAGTCTGAGGTTTTAACAATTGAACCCACATAAAAGCTCTCATCGTAGAAGGAACAATCAGCTGCACAAGGCTTTTCACAGAAAGGCACATTTATCTTCATCAACTGAGTTGCTGCAGCATTTATCCATTTATACAGCGAGAGCCATAAAAAGTCTATTCAACCAATCTGTCAGACGAATGCGCTTTCAGAGCTGTGTAACGAGGTGATTACAACTGTAGAAAAAGCCAGGTGGTGGATTTAGATGGAAGTGGCGCATGGAGGTATTGTTTGGCTTTAGCCTGGTTGTCTTTTATCACAAAATGAGATTAAAGACACAAACTTAACAGGAAGAGATGAAACACCATAAAGAAATTTGTACCAATTTAAATGTTTGCTTTTTATAATTTCTCACCTCATCCAGGTTCATCTGATCTGGCTCGTTCCAGGGGTTCAGAAACTTCCCTCCTCTTTGCTTCTTCAGTGGCACTACGACCACGTAGTATCCCCTAAAACACAGCATGACCGGGAATCAGGCCTACAGACATGCATCCAATTCTGTTCTTTTAGCGTTTTAGTCTCTGAAAAAAGTCCAGCATTCTGACACTTCATTCACTATTTTATTTATTCTCCTGGAAATTATTTTAGAATATAGTCATTGTCAAATCTGGATGGTAAATATAAAACTGACTGGAAAAAAACGAGTGTAAAAAAAAGATAATAAAATTTAATAATGAACTTTGTAGATTTGATTCTGAAAATATTCAATATTTTGCGAACTTATAAGTGTTTGTGTGTTTAAAGTCCCACAATGCAAATTTTGTGTCAAGATCACTGAGAACCCAACATTGTTTTAGGAGCTAATCCCCACTTATTGCTGCACCAAGAAAGCAGCACATGTGGCATCAATCACTTGATGTATTCATTTTCTGTTACTCGTGGTTCTTCATTCCATCACATCACTGTGGGGGAATTTTGAGCCACTCATCTTTAAAATATTGCTTCAGTTCACTGAGGTTTGCAGACATTTGTGTCTGCTCAGATTCCTTAAGGTCCTACCACATCATTTCATTCAGATGGTGACCGGAGCATCACAACACCTTTATTCTCTTTATCAGTCATTTTGCTGTAGTTTGCTGCTACGTTTGGGACCATTGTCCTGTTTAATTAGTCAGTGTAACGGTATGAAATGACAGTTTCCCCCTCTCCTCTGACACAGAACTAGTCTGCATGAGATATGGCCTCAAGGTCTCATGCATTTGCTATAAACTGCTTCTTTCCAGCTCAAGAGAAGAATGAAGAAAGGACTCTCTCCTTTTAATAAATCAAGGAACTCTATTTTAATAAAGCTAATCAAACAAAGTGTTAGTCAATAAATAAGATGTGACCAAACTGTGAAATCAAAATATTAATTACTTTATTATAATCCTATAGACTATAATAGTAATATGACTTTAAATGTTTCCACTAGGACTGAGCTCACGTAGCATTAAGACACGACACATTGCTTTACTGATCCAATCAGAATATGCCAGAATCGGACGGAGGCGTGGTTTTGGTGGTGTTTGGTAACTCTGTCATCTTTTCATTCGACCATAAACCAAAACATCCGAAGTATAAAACTATGCCCACGTCATCTTTAAAGCCAGTTCAAAGCGTTCTAGAGAAGTTGTCGGAGTGGCCAATCTGTAACTTTCCTCTTCAACCGAAAGAACCAATGACAAGCTTGATAAAATCTGTTGCTGTTCCAATTGCTGCAACGGTTCCTTTCAGAATAAAAGCTGAACCATCACGACCCAGGTTTGGGTCTCACTAGGTGCCAACAAAACCGTTGTGACCTGGAAGTATCTCAAAGACTGGTCTGGTCGGCAACCGCTGCTTTTCCTACCGGCTTCGGTTCCAGAGAAGGTCAAGCTGGACCTTGACATTCCTGATCTAGACGGGGACTTCCACCAGGGTATGTAGGCTGACAAATGGCAACAAATGTGTTTATGAATCTCCTAATCAAAGCTTAGAGCGAAGACATCACCTTCATTTCCCATCAGAACTAATCGCTTCTTCAGATTTGCTGGTTCTGAGCAACATTCCACACTACACCATTCTCCGTCTCAATCTAGTTACACCAGACATTTAGTTTAAAGTTAGTCTAGTTTAATCAGTTTAGTAATAAATTTTTAAACTTTTAAACCGGACTCTCTCTCTCTTCTGTTGTCTCTGAGTGAATACGAAGCTGTTATCTAATCCCTGCAATAAAAAGTTCCAATCTTCTGGTTACAATAACCTCACAAAGCCATAAGGTTGATTTCATATTTGCTATGGAATCTTTTGTCTTATGGCTTATGACATGTAATTATGTAAATAACATGTAATTTAAATTCATTACATCAGTTTGGTCCAAGCTTCAGCTGTTTGAGACACAGCCTCAAATTGAGCACGCCCCATAAACACTTCCACTTTTGGGAAAATTGGTAGCTTTCTTAAATGTTTCCCTCCAGTGAGCAATGTTACTATAGAATGATGGATCCTACTAACAGTAGAAATGATCTTTAACCCTTCCAGGTTGATGGGCGGCAACAGTTGCTTCTCTAAGGTCACTGCTCATTTCCTCCAGGTGTTCAAGCCTTTCATCCATCCATTTTCAGCTGCTTAATGGGTTGGGTTGTGGTGGCAGCAGCAACCTAAACAGACAGGCCCAGACTTCTCTCTCCCCAGCCACTTGGGCCAGCTCCTCCGGGGGAATCCCAAGGTGTTCCCTGGCCAGCAAAGGAACATAGTCCCTCCAGCATGTCCTGGGTCTTCCTTTAGGTCTTCTCAAGGTTGCAGGTGCCTGGAAAACCTTACCAGGGAAGCGTCCAGGAGACATACTAACGAGATGCCCGAGCCACCTAAATTGGCTCCTCTTGATGTGGAGGAGCAGTGGGTCTACTACGAGCCCCTCCCGAATGACTGAGCTTCTCACCCCATCTCTAAGGGAGAGCCCAGCCATCTTGCGCAGAAAACAGACTTTTTGCCACTTGTATCCGCAATCTCATTCTTTCAGTCACTAGTCGAAGAAGAAGAAGAAGAAGAAGAAGAAGAAGAAAAAGAAGAAGAGAATAAATAAAGAAGAAGAAGAAGAGAATAAATAAAGAAGAAGAAGAAGAGAATAAATAAAGAAGAAGAAGAAGAGAATAAATAAAGAAGAAGAAGAAGAGAATAAAAAAAAAGAAGAACAAGAGAATAAAAAAGAAGAAGAAGAAGAAGAAGAAGAAGAAGAATTTTGCTTCTTTGTTGATATCATGGCATGGTCTCAAAATAAAAGTAAGAGAGTAATGTTTTCAGAAGATAAGCAAAGAGCTAAAATCAGAGTGAACATCGGAGCAGCCTACACTCGTTTGAGGGAGCTAATGGAGGCTACGAAATCACGGACTGATGGTGACCTGTCCTTGTTGCTGCTGGATTTTAACCATTAGTATATTGTGTTGTCCTACAGTGTGGATCTTTTTACTTTGTGGTTTGTGTTAGCATGAGCTCATTAGTGCTAACTACAGCAGGTGGAGGCAGGGTTGTTTATGACAGCTGTAATTCCACTTTCAACCAGTAGGAGGGAGAAACGGGAAACTTATTAAGTGTTGGTCTAAAAATGTCATCATTTGCATTTTTTAACTGTGTGGGCGTTGGAACGAGCCCCCACACCGTGAGAACAAACATCTCAGCTCTAATGCCGATCTTCATCCGCGTACGTCACACGTCACGTGATCAAGAAGCCGAAAATCCATGTGTTAGGAGATCGTTTTGGGCTGCTGCTGTAAAAGGCGCGAACCGGAAAATCTTCTGCCGATCACAATTCGACAACGGATTATGAAAGAATGGATAAGACTCGATGCGCGCGGATTCTTCCTGATATAAGAGGTGAGTCTTCTCTTTGTTTTGATAGTTTTGGCATTGACATCATCCTAGCACGCAACGTTCTGTGACTCTTAAAAAAACTGTAAAAACGCAGAAAAATGCTGGCAGTGAATGAGTTAAGGATGAACTTAACAGTTTATTTTTACTGTTTTCCTTTCTTTTCTAGATTTGTTTAATGTTTGAATCAGTGTTTTTGTAAATTGGATGTAAAATTTAAGTGATTTTGTCACCTCGTAAAGTCCAGATAACTTTTTTTGTGTGCTGATACTTTAACTCAAAAACTGAAAGAGTGGGCATTTTCATTTTACCATAGTGCTATTTTAACATCAAGGCACGATTATTCTTGGGAAGTGATGGAAAAACTGCTATTTGGATGGAAAAAATTTACATTAAAACTACCAGAGCTATAAGGAGAATAGAAGCGGCACTGAACTGACTCATCTTGAGCTTTGAACTTGTAGTGGTGCTCCTGCTTGGTAGCTAGGTTTGTTTTTAGGTACAGACTACAGTAGGTGGTGGATGTTTAGCTGCCTTCTTTGAAGAAACCCTTCTGAAGCATTAATACATGAAAACCAGTCAGTCAGCAGGTACAACAAACCCACAATCTGCACAGAGACCCATTTAATAGTCTTATCTCGTTCTGTGACTCATCACTCACTTGACTTTCGCAGTTGTCTGAACAGTCGGCAGCTGAACAGTCACCATCCCATCTGCGTTGGTCTTTCCCACAATGGCAGGTTTGGTTTTCAGGATGTCCGGGGCTGTTACAGCAGTGACGCGGTGCTGCAGACCGCCAGCACTGTTTGCCCGGTTGGTGAGCAGGAAAGAATACTGGGTGTCTGGATCCAAACCAGTTATCAGCTTCTGGGTCTGTTTGCCATCGACCTCCACGGACTGGCCCTTCCCATAAAGGATCTGAGAACATACATGTATGCTTAACCATAGAGGATTACATCCATTTTGCTGTAACTACGTAGGTTTTTATGCAAAGGTTTCTGTTCTCTCTCTCGGAATGATGCTACCAAGTGAGTCACCAAGAAAACAATCTACAATTAGTCACATAATTGAATGACTAGCCATTACAAAGACCTTGAATGTTTCCACAATAAAAGCACTAAAATTTCAACAGGAAATTGTATATTTTTCCATTGTTTTCCATCGGTGCTGCCTTCATATCAGGTGAGTGTGGTTATTTACACTTCAAACCTCAGAAAAACCCATAAAATCCATCTGAATTAGAGGCAGGTGGGTCAGAGGATTTATATCCAGGAGATTAAGGTTTATTTCTTTGATCTGATGTTGTTTTCAGTTGCAGTCTTCAATTTAGTTTTGTTTTTTTCCTGCTGACAATACACAATCAATAATCATTATTCTATTCTGCAGCTGAAGACCGCCTTTCTTTTATTTGGTTGATAAAACTATTTCACATTTATGTCAAACAGAAAAAACAATATTTTTTTCCCCTTCTTTTGCGGTGTGCTATGAAACTGGAGTTTGAAACGAGTGTGAATATTAAATTTAAATTTATTACCATAAAAATGACTTACAGTGAACGGCTGGGCAGGGTTCTTGTCTCGTATCTCCCAAGAGAGCAGAACCGAGTTTTTCATGGCTGCCTTTACTCTGAAGTTTGTGGCAAAAACTACAGAAGACAGAAAACAAAGGATAGAAGATGAAAGTTTTTCCCACAGGTTCAGTTGTTTTTACAGCAGGATAAAACACATCTGCCTTACCTGTTTCGTTCTCTAGCACCAGACTCAAGCTAGCTATTTGATCTGATCAACAGACACCATGATGGGACAGAGATACTGGCCCAGACTCTTACCTTGAACAGACTGGGTCTAAGGCCACAGTGACAAGACAATGACAAAGGACACTTAGGATGCAGTTCCTACACGTTGCCTGTTCGAGACTGTGTGCATGTGGGGATTTGCGCCACATATTTTCAATTGTGCTGTATGAAGGTGGTTCTTGCATCCTGAGCAGTGACGATGGGTTGTTAAAATATGAGCGTGATCCTACCTTGGTCCAGCCGTTGCGTCCTAAACTGGACGCCGGGGCTGTACGGCCCAGGCCCAACAGCTGTGAACGCGCACACCCTGACATCGTACACAGTATCAGCACTCAGACCCTCCAGCAACACACTGGACCCTGGAGCAGGCACCACAACCTCTGAAGCATTTCCTCGACTGTTTATATCCTTGTACAGCACCGAGTACTTTACAACTTTCCCATTTTGCTCAATCAGTGGGACGGATTTCCAAGCCAGTTGTAGAGAGGTGTCAGAGGACTGTTGTAAGGCAATATTCTCTGGGTATCCAGTGGGGGCATCCTCTGGAGTGGTCACCTCCTTTAGGATCTCTTCTCCGTAGCCCATTTTGTTTCGAGCAGAGAGCCTGAACACGTAATTAGCTCCCTTATGGATGTCTTGAGCTGTGTAACGAGTTTCCTTAGCGGGGAATTCGACGACTGTGAAGGGAAGGACCTCAACACGGCCAAAGGTGAGGCGGTACCCCAGGAGAGGGGTGGGGGGGTTCGGAGGGGGGTACCACTGGAGCACAATAGTACCCGAATCAGTTGCACTGACCAGCAGTTTTGGTTTTTCTGGGACTAGAAGAAGAACGAAAAGAAAGAAGGCAACTATAAATCACGTTCTTCATCGTCTCAAACAAAACTGTTTCATATATCGACGGACCTTTCACTGAACAATGATTTAACAGCCTCTAATGATTGTTATTGATGCTCAACAACATTATTAATGAGTATACTTGAGATGTGCGTGCTTTATTTGGCATAGAAGCACTTACGAGGCAGGGCGGTGCACGCAGTTACAGGTTTACTGCGAGCACCATCGCCCTTGGCAGTGTAAGCTCCCACAGACACAGAGTAGGCCGTATCCGCTGTCAGGTCTCCAAGCACGACCTCCTGAAGAACAGAAGGCACAGTCAGCTACACACTTACGCTGCACAGTGAACGGTTTGGTTCTTGAGCTTGGATTAAAAAAAACTCTAAAAGAAAAAGTAGTCATAGCGAGTGTTTTTGAAAGAAGGTTGGAAATTGAACGTGCATCTGCATTTTGACAAATTTTAAATTCTCCAGACTAAATTCTTAGTTTAGTTTTAAAAGAACGTTATGAAATAGATTTGGCGTTTCACAGCCAGAGAAGTCAGAGCCATTGCGTCACTTAGGCCCTGTCCACACGTAGCCGGGGATCTGCCAAAACGTAGATATTTTTCTACGTTTTGGCCTGTCATCCACACGAAAACGGATCTTTTTAAAAACTCCGGCCAAAGTGAAGATCTGCGTTTTCTCCGGAGTTTTAAGGTCCGCAACGTCACTTTCCGCGGCAAAAAAAATGCTGACATCACGTGTGCGACCTGTTTACACTAGCCGACAGCATGGATGCCCTCAGAGCCGCGCTCGCTTTATCAATTGTCCAAGCGCTTTTTGCTTGTTTGTTTTTGCAAGCGGAATTACTGCTCCTTGCAGAAGACCACAGACGAAGGATGAGGTTAAGAACGAGGGAAGTACTGCCGCCTACAGGTCTGGCACGTCCTTAACAACGTATTTATCCGGGTACGTGTGGACAGAGTTTTTTTTTAAAACGAGGTGGTGTGGATGCAAGTTTTTGGAGGGGCGGATATTCGTTTTTAAAAAAACCCGGCTACATGTGGACTAGGGCCCTGTCCACACGTAGCCGGGGATCTGCCAAAACGTAGATATGTTTCTACGTTTTGGCCTGTCATCCACACGAAAACAGAGTTTTTTCGCACGAAACGGATCTTTTTAAAAACTCCGGCCAAAGTGAAGATCTGCGTTTTCTCCGTTTTGGGTGTCTGCGTGTGGACAGACAAAACCGGAGTTTTAAGGTCCGCAACGTCACTTTCCGCGACAAAAAAATGCTGACATCACGTGTGTGACCTGTGTTTACACTAGCCGACAGCATGGATGCCCTCAGAGCTGCGCTCGCTTTATCAATTGTCCAAGCGCTTTTTGCTTGTTTGTTTTTGCAAGCGGAATTACTGCTCCTTGTGGAAGACCACAGACGAAGGACGAGGTTAAGAATGGGGCAAGTACTGCCGCCTACAGGTCTGGCATGTCCTTAACAACGTATTTATCCGGGTACGTGTGGACAGAGTTTCTTTTTAAATGAGATGGCGTGGATGCAAGTTTTTAGAGGGGCGGATATTCGTTTTAAAAAAAAACCCGGCTACGTGTGGACTAGGCCTTAAACTGTCTTCTCCAAAAACATCTGACCCTCCCTCTGTTGTATTCTGAACTTCTGGGGAGGATGTGTATGATCGTCTTTCTATTCCTGCAGACAGCTATCTTAATTGCACTGGTCTGTTTTATAAACTCTGTTTTAAACAACAGTCAGTGATTTTAGACACTCTTCATTCAGTATTTTTAAACTTTGCTACAAACAAGAGTTACACTTTACAATAGCTGGTGATGTTAAGAGATTTGATCATAATTATACCATTTCAAGATGTGCTATTAATTCAAATCAGAACACTGACTGTGAAAGCAGCTCTGACACACTTTATGTGCCAGCTGATAAAAAAACAACACAAGTTTGTTTGACTCCTTGCAGAGTAAAAGTAAAACAAACTTGGAGATTACAAAATGGTGATTACAAACTTTTCATTGGTTCTTGTGCTAACACCGACGCTATCAGTATTGCAAATAGGAAGAGTTAGTGCTAAGCTAGCTCTGGCTCTGGTCCTGCAGTGGAATCTGTTGGGTGGACAAACGCCTGAAGGTCAAAAGCCTAAAACGGATATTTTCAACCTTTTTTCAGCTTCAAACTAAATCGCAACAACAAAGAGTATACGATTTATGCGTGCAATATTTATCCATATTTATTTAATGGCTTATTTTTAATAATTTGGTTTTGGGTTGACAAAATGTGTACTCACATAATCAGCAGAGTGGCTGTGTTCCCACTGAACGATGGAGCATTACAGAAAACAGGCAAAAAGAACAGGAATGGAAAAATCAGAGAGAACAACATCGGAGAGATGTGGGTAAACTGTGATGGTTCATGTAAAATACTATATATAAAACAGGTTGAACACATAATTTCTTAAAAAATGCATTCCAATTCTGTTAGCAAAAAACGACACAAAATATTTCTCACGGCTTTATTTTACTCTCATTAATTTGGTAACAACACAGTGTCATGTATGTGTTGAATTAACATCATAAGTCCTACCTGAGTGTCATCAACGAGGATGTCTTTGATGAGGGGCAGGCCATGAGGTTCTCCATAGTTCATCCTCACATAGTGGACTTGATAGCCTCGGACCTGGCCGTGCTGTAGTTCGGGTGCCGGTGCTCTCCATTTCACCCTAACGGCTGAGGAATTCACTGTCTCTGCTTCAACCAATCGTGGAGGACCACTTGGAACTAAAAATGCATGTTGGAATAGAGGTCAGGGGTCACAGAGGATGGCCATTGAAAACTCTCAAGTAAAAGCTTTCACTTAAGTGAAATTATGTCTGATCAAAAAAAAGTGGGCAGAGAAAAGAAAAAATACCCAAAAGCTGAGAAAAATGTAAAAATACAACCTGCAAAAAGTCCTAAAGTGATCTAACATCTGAGAAAAAGTCAGAATAGTTCAAAATGAGAGCGCTTGGAAGAAAAAACATGGAAGGGAAAAAGCAGTGAAGTATAGGAGGCAAATGTAGAGAGAGGCAATAATGGAAGAGGGCAAAGGATTTGTTGCCAGAGGCAGATAAAAGGTGGCAGTCAGTCAACGAGAAAACACTGTTATCAAGAAAAACCTCTCGTGGGTTGCCAAGAACTACACTTCTCCTAAAAAGAAGAAAAGAAAACCGTAAAAAAGCACCTTTTGCTTTCTGAATGACGTTTGTGCAAGCACTTTAAAGAGCGGTACGCTCGAAAAAAAAAAGTTACAGGCTAAAAGAAAATTAAACGTTTGTATCAAAGCGCCAAAAATATGTAAAATTCTTCAAAGTAGCACAAAAATACAAGAATGAAATAATCAGAAAAAATTTTGTAAGATGTAAAAATTTGAAGGACCTGCAAGAGGCGGTCATTAACAAAAGCAAAGTCAAGGAGAAACTAGCTGTTAGTTAATTAGATAGTTAGTTAGTATGGCATCTATGATCTTCAAACACAAAAATCTGGGAGGGTGGGGGGGACTGATGGGTAAAATGCAGGTAAAATAGGAGCTGCTTTAGTCAACAGGTGACAGTGGTGAGGGTAGGGAGAAATCCTGATGGAGGATTTATGATGATTCTGAAGGGGTTTGAAGTTAGAAGATGCAAAAAGATCATTCTTAAAAATGCATTAAGGTGGAGCAAAAAGTCTCACCAGGTCAGCTGCTGGTTGTTAGTTAGGGTGATTGGTTTTATGTTTATAGGGTGGAGGAAGCTTGGTTAGTTGGGTGGACCATCCTAGGAGAGGCATAGGATACATAATGTTCTATTTTTGCAACATACCATCTTCCTCGGTGCGGATAAGCAGCTGTAAACTCTCTGGTCCATCTCCAGCTTCTGTGCGTGCTCGAACAGTTATGCCATACTCAGTCCATTTCTCAAGATTTTCCAGGAGAAACGAAGAACTTCCAGGGGGAATTTCATCAGTTCTTTTAGAGGTTTTGTTGCCCGCTGTGGTGGAGTACTGAATAGAGTATCCCGTTATGACGCCATTCTGAAACTCCGGGGGTGGTGGAGCCCAACTTACCAGGACGCTGGTAGAACTGGGACTGGTGCATGTGATGTCCTGAGGAGGTGCTGAAGGAACTGATCGGCCAGTTTGGTGGGAGCACAGCAAGGGGGGGTTGGTTGTTTGGGGTTAAATGTTATTTGGTTGAGTGTACATGTGGTATATTTGTGGATGGGGAGGTCAGGAAGTAGGGTGTGCCGTGAAAGATGGGGATGAAAATGAGCGGATGAGAAACAAGAGAACAAAAGACAAAGAAGCATAAAATGAAAACAAAACACTGGAGAACAGAAAGTCTTGATGTGTGACAAATGATCTCGTGGCTCGAAACAAGAAAGCTGAACAAAGATACTGAATGATGGGTGTCCAATCGGTTTGGTATAAACGTTTGAAATAATGACAAGAAGTGAATGACTAAAGAAATGCAACACAAAACACCAACTAGAACTTTAAATAACACAAAAGTAGCTGCCCATCACTTACTTGTCCTTACAGTTTACTGAAGCTTCTGTCATCCATGATGGACGCCTCATGTCTATCTGCAAGTGTCTGACTTCTTACCTTGTTGGGACTGAATCTCTGACAGACCTCAGATTGATATTCAACAAAGAAAGCTTTGCTGCCATTTTAAAATGAATCCTACATTTACAAATCAGCCACCCACTAGATTGAAACGACAGCGTTTTATGATTAAATTGGTTTAGGACATTTACACAGATGCTGCTTTGACTTGTACCACCCAATTAAATACTGAAGAGGCTCTTAGCAGCCTTCAAAAGCAAAACACATCTTGTCACAGTGGAAAAATGACTAGAGTGGGGTGACAAGCAGCAGCAAATAATAATGTCGACAACATAAATTAGTATTCAGACATTAGTATCTATGGCCAAATTCCAATTTCTCCCTTCCTCATACCTCTACACTTTCAGCTTTCTGGCACTTGATTGAAGGGACTAGACGTTTAGTCATGGTTGCATTTTCTATGTCAATAGTTTGGTTTTTAACATTCTTGGGTTCTGATTGGTCATTTTCATTGATTTCCTTTTTTCCTGTACTTAAATGAGCTTTTTTTACTCATTGTGTCACGTTTTCATCAACCCAATCCCAATACTTGCACTGCGCCCTACGGTCTTCTGTGAAGTCCACTTGGAGAAAGTGTGCAGTAAGGCTTCGAGTGCGTTGGTACGCAAGTGTGCAAATAATTGCTGAATTGGGACAGGGAGCATTGTGTCATCGACCATGCCAGGATGCTGGTTGCTGTGATACTTTAAAAAAAATCTTTATTAACTTTCAAACAAAAAAACCAAACAATTATTTGAAATAAATGTACGTTTATTGCTGCTTTGTCTAAAACATTCAGAGCATCAACTAATTGTCCTAAAATTAATGACTTTCATTTGAAAATACATATTTTCAGGAAAGGCACGTGAACCTTTTCTAATAATAATAATAATAATAATAATAATAATAATAATAATAATAATAATAATAATAATCATCATTGAACATACATAGCGTTTTATTAGGACACTCAAAGACACTTGAGTGAACTCTCACATTCACACACTGCCAGTGATGGTAGGCTACTATGTAGCCACAGCCGCCCTAGAGCGGTCCGACAGAGGCGAGGCTGCCATTTGGTGCCGTCGGCCCCTCTGACCACCACCAACACAGGCACGTTGGGTGAAGTGTCTTGCCCAAAGACACAACAGCAGAATACCTCCGGTGGGAGCTGGAATCGAACCCATGACCTGCCGATCATGAGGCAACTCGCTCTACCACCTGAGCTACTGCTGCCCCAATTTTTCCAGCAGCAATGGATTCTGGGTAATACACTTCTCCCAAGCCCACATCAATGCTGACTTGGGAAAAGGGTGCAAAAGAAGCGTGGTCAACTTTCGCACTTAAGAGTCGGGACAACTTACGCACTCGCACCCCTGGCCAAGATCGTGCATTTGAAGGACGCAAGTGTGGAATGGCGAGTACTGGGATTGGACCATTGTTTCCCTAATCATCCTTTTCTACCTGTTTCCCATCTGTAGTGATCATCTGCCCCGGCACATATACTGCTTGGTTTTCTCTGTCTAAAGCCTCATTCACACTGACTACTGAGCAGATGCAGACAGGAATCTGCATGGCTTCTGGATAGACGGCCATCGAGACCGACTGTGGATCGTGTGCAATGTCTCTGGAAAGTCGTTTGCAACTTCATGCAAGTTTACCTGATGACAACTACGTGTGTAGAGATGAGCTGGTACAAAAAAGCTACACTCGTCTTCTCACACTGTGAACCGAGACTTCCGTCATTAATAATAACAAACGAAGCTGGACAGATTATTGCAACACAGGTTTGAATTTGAAATAAACCAGATTCATGACGATCCGCATGATGCCATAATAACTTTTTTAAAGGGTGTCAATTTTTGTAATTGAACATTTTAAACACTTGTGACTTCATGGCCAAAGGAATCAGGGGTAAAGGGATGTGGGCTTTGTCTGAGCTTAGGTTCTGGATACATTTATAAGATATGAATAGATGTGTTGAAACATCAATCTTGAGGTCTGTTTTGGTCTTTTTTCTGATGCCTCTTTGACAATGCAACAAAACCCTCATGAAAAATTCAGCCCGGAAAACACATGAGTGAAGTTGATATTTAATCCAATGTGTATTTTGGAGATATTGTCTGGTTTTCAGTTCTTGCATTGCCAAAAGTGAAACCTGTTTTCCTTTCTCTCAAAATCCCAACGCACACATGCACGCACGCACACACACACAAACACTCTCACACACACACATTCACTCCCAGCAGTGTGCCTGGGTACACCTACGTGTCTGTGGAGTGTCAATGGACACTTCATTGGTGTACGCCCCAATTCCATTTTTGCTCTTGGCAGCTAGCTGGAAAGTGTAGGTGGAGAAAGGCTTCAGGTTCTTCAGCAGGTAGGAGGTGGTGGGCTCAAAACTCACTTTCCTCTGAAGAGAAGCAAAAACAGGAAGTCACTAAATCAAGCCTTTGCTTTGTATCCAACCATTCATTAAAAACTCCAACTACAAATCCATGTGACGCTTATCCTTACCTCCTCTGTGTCATCAATCCTTCGATAAACCAGTTCGTACCCAGTGATCTGGCTGTCTGGGCCTCCCTGGGTTGAGGGGGCCATCCAGGACAGCAGGATACTTGTCTCAGACTTTGCTTCACCCTTAAAGTCTAAAGGCTGGGATGGAACTACAGACAGAAAGACAAGAGACGCTAAATGATGAAATCGATTCAGAAACACTAAATCTTTTTATGGAAGATAGGGGAGGGTCTTTTATAAAAGATTTTATTTAGCTTTTTTAATTTTACCTCCAGTCTTGGTTATGATCCGGAGGTCCTGAGATAAGGGTCCATCTCCTACAGAGGTGAACGCCAGCACTCGGATGTAATAGGTCTTGTTAGGAGTCAGATCCTGGATGGTGATGAAGTTGGCGCTGCGCACCATTTGCTTGTCCCACTGCACCACACAGCCACAAAACAAATCAGTTTGACTGGAACCAAATCAATGTTTTGCACATGGACATAACGCTGGGGATGAAAATGGATCAAAAGAAGCCATGCGGACAGAAACACACACCTGGTTGACTGGTAGCGTGTTGTCAGAGGTGTAGTACACTCTGTAACCAACAACCTGTCCGTTGGGTTCCTCTGGCTCATCCCAATGTATCATTGCTGTTGTGGCACTCAGCATTCGCCCGATGACCTGCAGAAAGTAAGGGATAAAGTCAAATTTATGTCACTTATTTATATTTTGTCAATTAGAATCATTACCCTGACCTGTCGAGGAGGTGAGGAGGGGGCCTGCTCAGCTGTGCGAGCCTCCACCACGTCGCTGGACGGGCCCTGCCCAATGGAGTTGACAGCCGCCACCCGAAAGTCATAGTGAGAGTAAGGGCTGAGGCCACCTACGCTGTAGCGCGTTGTGGCGATGCCATCAATCTCTTTATAAGGGTCCTCTGAACCTTTCTGACGATGCTGGAGGAGGCAAGAGATGGAAAGGAGAGGAAGGTCATTCTGAATCACTACAGAGGAATGTCTTTTGGCCTTCTGTATACAGTGATCCCTCGTTTATCGCGGTAGATGCGTTCCAGACCTAGCTGCGATAGGTGAAAATCCGCGAAGTAGGGACTCCCAGCATGCCCCTCGTGGGGATTCCCTCCACGTCGCACCTACGTCACAAACCGCAGCTATAAACGGAAGTCGCCTTTCCAGCTCACCACTCAGTCATCGTTTCTTCAGATTCATGGTCAGAGTTTCCAACCTACCGATCAATCCAACGAACTATCAGCTCATAGTAAGTTATCTTACTTACTTCTGGAAAGCCCGGCATTTCCGTGTCACTTCGTTGACGCTCGAACGCTCGGGGGTTTCCTAGATTAAATCGTGAGCCGGCGTTTCACCGACGCTATCACTTCCACGTCTGTGAAACCACGCTCCCTACAAGCTCAACTCCCGAATCCAGCCGACCAGTCTGACATACAGTACTATATTGAATTATCGTATGATCACATTCTCTTTTTGTGGGTAAAACTCAAGAAAAAAAATTTTTTTTACTTGGTTTTTTTATAGTTTTATTACAAAAAGTGCATTTTATGATGAAATTGATGAAAAAAACTGGAATTTCTTGATATTTCGCATAGAAAAATACCGCGAATCGGCGAATTTCACTTGAATAAGGCAAAAAAAAATCCGCGAAGTCGTGAATCCGCAATAAACGAACCGCGAAGTAGCGAGGGATGACTGTATACATATATCTTCTTTTTATTCCTATTTTTAGTTTGGAGCGATATGGCGATTTCACCTCGATAACGATAAACGGACGATAACTACAGGTGTGCGCAGAAGCAAAAGGTGTCCACTAGATGGGGCTGTCACGTGTATTGCCTCGAGTCACATTTTTACATGACTCAAGGTGGTATGGCTTCTTAAAGGGACTTGAACGCTGCAACCTACACACATCTTTTCATCTTTTATCATCAAATTTATTGACATGGGAAAAATTATCTCGATGATCAGAAATTTTGATGACGATACATTTTCGATTTATTTCCCAGCCCTAGTTGGAGCTGTTTTTGAGTGAAGAACCATCCCATGACACTTACTTCATTGTAACAAATTCACATTTTTAGAGTTCATAACCACCTGGAAGCTTTTCTCCCACGTATTTCCTTACTGGACAGTTCCTTTACTTTGACAGTCAGAGGCTTTTGTTATTTAGACTCATGTATCATGTTCTGTAGCAGTCTTGTTAAGTAGTTAGTGGGTGAGGTCACACCTGTATGATGTAGTAAGAGACGGGTTCAGGGTTTCCAGAATCCCAGGTGAGAGTGATGCTTGTTGCAGTTCTCTCCGTCACCACTGGGATCCCAGGGGCCTTCGGCAAGGCTGGCAGGAAGACAAAAGTGACAAAGTGTCATCCATCATCGATTTAAAACTCAACATGTTGCAGATGTCCTGAATAATGGAATTTGACTGAGAATGAGGACATAATCTCCACACAATAATTAAAAGTAGGGAAAGACAATTATGAACAAAATCAGTTTTACCAGAGCTCTGGTAAAAACAAATCCAGCCAGATTCGGGACCTTATTTTTTGCTTCAAAGACAATTTGAACTTTCCATTTTGAATATAAATTAAAACCAGAACAAAACAACCAGTCAAAGAGATTTATTCAAATGGCAAATGGCTGGAGGGAAAATAAATCACTGTTGGACCTCACTCACCCCACAAAAGAGTACACAATTATAAAAGATATCTGACATTTACCATCAAATATGCATTTTCTTAGCTACAAATATGACTATTAGATGATTATTTGGACATAGGGCAGCGAGGTCAAAACTACCCAAAGCAGTAGTTGTCAGGACCGGAAACAGATCATTTTAAAGACCAAGTTCACTGGTTTTGCTAACACATTTGCAGTGGTCTCTAGTATAAATGAATGTCTCTCATGCTTCTGTTTTATAAGTTGGCCAGAGAAGAGGGGAGCAGAAGACGGCAGGGTTTAGAGTCTTATTTCCTGATATTCAGACATCTTGCCTCTGATTGGCTAACAGCAACACAACTGTACCACTGCCGTTTGTTTTATCTCCACAAATAACACAAGCCTGGAGGAGTTCTGCTGTGTGGTGGAGTTGCTAATGCTAACAGTTAGCTTCTACTAGTCATGACGTGCTCTGCTGTCTCCTCGACGCTAAACCAACACCAACACCAACCTTCCCCGTCATGAGCCAAGATAAGTGAATCTGTTATTGCTAATTTTCAGTGTAACATTGATCTGTGTGGCTTTTTCTAATCCAAGCGTCTCTGTTCTATCAGCGGCTAAAGGTTGGTTTATGCTTGACGCGTCCGCGAGGTCCGCACGGCTCCGCGCGGCGAAATTGCGTCATTTTAACAACCACGCCCCTCCACAGCGCCTCCGCATGGCCCAAAATTTCCGCAACGCGCACCTAGGAAATTTTCTAACCACGTGGATGGTCGGACGCAGAAAAACATGGCGGACCGGCAAGAACTAGTATGGCAGAGGTTCGTAAATACAGACATTTGTACGATTCAGCTCTCAAAGATCACCGTGATCAAAATGTTGTTAATAATTCTTGGAGAGAAATAGCTCGCACTGTCGGAAAAGACGAGCACGCTGTTAAAAAATGCTGAAATGCCATGTTGTAAACAGTAATTTCTACTTCTACTATGGTGTAGTGTTGGATGCATGTCGTAGAGCTCCATGCTGCCCCCTACAGTTTGGGAGAATATTGGCTCACTGCAGAGACAAGCCACATGAACCATAAACGCTGCAAGTTGTGAAGCGCGTTCCATCCGCGAGCCGCATCACCGCGCGGAAAGTGAATGCGTCAAGCATAAACCAAGCTTAATGCAGGAGACAGGGGGAGAAGACTATTTTCATGTTTAGCCTGCATGTTAAACTCAGATTTCATAATTAACAAGTAAAAAAGGATTTCTCAGTGAATTTGGTTTTTAAAACCAGGACAATGTACAAATAATTTACTTGGAGGAGGGGCAACCTAAAACTGATACAGCGGCCAACCACTAGAGGGTATATCAATTTCATTTTGTTGTCCTTTGAAAAATACCTTTAGTCACACAAGACTAAAGTGAAACCTTCCCCCTTTTCATGACTCGTGGTCCACCTCTGGAACCCACCTTTCACAGTGATCTGTGCCACTGCCTCGATCACCCCGAGTGTCGACATGGCCACACAGGTGTAGTTGTTGGACTGGCGGACATCTGTCAGCTCCAGAACGTTGCGACCAATGGGCATGTCATCCTCAGGCGTCAGGTCTTCTGCACCCAGCATCCACTTCACGTACGGCATGGGCGAGCCAACCGCCACGCAGGTGATGTTGACGTTACCCCCTGGCATGATTTCGCTGTCAGCTGGGGGAATGGAGAAGCGAGGGGGCACGCGGCGCACTGGAGCGATTCGCAATGAGAACAGGAGGGCGAGAGGAGAAACGTGGTTAGAATTTTACAATTTGAGATGAAATATCAGAAAACAGTTAGGATGGGGAGTGAGTTTTACAGCATTCAGATTAGACTGCAAGCTGTACATCACGGCTCCAATGAATGTTATATAAAAATGTTTTATTAATGCAATTTTAAAGGAAGAACTGTTAAATATTTCATTAAGTTGAATCTCAAAGTTATAACAAATACACATGCACACATAAATGTGCATACAATATGTATAAAGTATACAATATGCACGTTACAAATGGAACATATGAAGTGGCAAAGCAAGTTTAACTCTTCAGGACTGCATGAAAAGCAAACAAGACACAGAAATACAAACAGATATTTAACCAAAAACTCAAAATGCCACACAGTTACTGTACCAACCTTCTCGGAGTTCTGCAGTGGGGTGCAGGACAGAGCACAGCGGGGAGGCAGGAAAGACAGGAAATGGGAAATATCAGAAAGACGAGGAGAGGAAAAAAGTTAGAATGAGGAGGCAAGAGATGGAGCGAGAGCCAGAAAAGAACAGAAGAACGACAAAAGAAAGCAACCAGGAGAGAACAGAGATAACGTAAACACGGGCCATGGTTGATATGTGTAAAAAAAACCTTCCAGTTTAAGGCAGCCTCCATTGCCAGCTGTCTGCATAGACCGGCTGTCACTCACTGAGCAGCGCTGCAAGATTTCGCCGGCCTTGCGAGAACTGTTAGACACACATCACCGCTGCTGCTGTTTGTCTGCTTCTCGGTTCTTTGTTATATGAATATTTCCACGGCGGATGACGATGTCGCATGTGAGCAACCAATAGTGTGTCTTCTCCTTTCATATGCCCAAGAGAAATGCTGGAGCTAGAAAAGCATGCTAGACTGTTTAAACCCCGTGTTTACTAGACTGGGTAGGTAGGCAGGCAGGCGAAAGAGCAAAAAGCTCTGGGAATAAAAATGTCTTCAAGATTCAAACATTTGGTTGGAATGAGCGCGTCACAGGAGCGGAAAGGGAGGCAGCGCCTGGAGAAATGAGATGTCTATCAGGTTTGGAGAGAAACACACGTCTTAACTGGACAATGATTTGGATTTTCTCTGAGGTCTAAAGGCTAAGACAGCGGGGAATGGAGATTAACGGCTTGAGAGTAAAGAAATGAGCCCAGCTGGCGTCTTTAAAGAAGACTGTTTTCTGAGTCTGAAGCTAAACGAACATGAAATACTGCAGGCCTAATGGCAACACATCACATTTATAGAAATAAACCATAGATGTGTATGTAAATCAGTGGCGTGCTGGATGTTAATACATGTACATCCATACAGCAGCAAAGCTAAAGCAACAGCTACATATTTCATGGCTAAAACCACTTCCAATTACCCGTGACCTTCTCTAGAGAACACACAGACCACAACACATCACAAGGCACTTTGTGACACATGAATTGTTTGTAAAACATTCTGCAGGTTTACATATTACACCAATGTCTGAGTGCAAAGCTAACACGCTATCTAGTTAACCATTATAACTCGCTCACAGCTATGGGAGAACATGACAAAATCAGTCTAAGCTGGGGACATGCGTGGTGTGTAACCATAACAACACTGCATTACTGGAGATGTAATAAATGCCAGCAAACGACTCATCTAGCTATCTAGCTGATGCTTTGGTAATATTTCACTTTTTTGTCTTTACGATTGTTTTTAAAGCTAATCCTGGCTGGCAATGATTTTCTTCAGATTTTATCAACCGAAAACCTTCTGTAATATCAAATCGTCTTTATGAAGGTGTGAACTCTTTATTCTGCTAGAATTAGACGGCCTTTAACTTCAGGATGTAGTTGATGCAAACATTTAATAGCAAATTTCAAAATTAAATAAGTTTTATTTTCAAAACACAGAAAAAAAATACTTCAAACTAGATAAGTTACGAAATGTTGGTCAAATAATGAGATACCATTTAAAACAAATGCTTTTTTGTTACCACTGATCTTTACTTTAGTCTTTTCTAATAAATTATCCTCTTTTTAATTCCATTGTAGCCCTGTTTTCAGATAAATTGTGTTTTTTTTAGTTTGCTTGCATGTTGAACATTATGTAATTGTAGGTGCATTATGGGTAGACTATGACAGCAGCGTATCTTCATCAGTCAACACCAACTACAATAACTTTTGTTAAAAGGAATAATGTAGGGGATTTGAAATTTGTATATGAATGCAAAAAAATTAAATAAATAAAATAAAATAAAATATAGTAAAATAAATAAATAAAAAAACATCCAACATAAGAGTCAGAAAGAGAGAATTATTTTGATTAGACAGGTAACTTAGTAACTGTGTTTGTAGCAGTTTCTACTGCAATAAGTTAGGGTTGATGTAGAAAAATAATTACAAAAGTCCAGCAAGAAAGAAACTGGTACATAAGAGCAACTAATGAAAGTTATGTTAATAATAATAACAATAATAATAATAATAATGATACTACTACTACTACTAATAATAATAATAATAATAAAACAATGTATAAATGAGTTATGTGTATGTTCCATCTCACCTCTGACATACAGGTTTGCTGGGGTGGAATAACGAGTCCCATCACTGTTAGTGGCAACACACTCGTACTTCCCCTGGTCAGTCTCCTCACTCATCTCTATCTGGAGGGCGCCTGGATGGATGGAGTGATGGAGAGAAGGAGTAGAGATCAGACAGGCAAGGGAGAGTCACAGATAGAGAGGAAAAAATATATTATACAGAAGTGGAAGACAGGTAACTGGCTAAATTACTAAACAAAGATATATAAATGGCAAAACAAAAAACCAAACATCAGGGAAGTAAATGATTCTGAGAGAGGTTTAAGTAAAATAAAGTCAAAACTTTTTAAGGAGGACATAAAAAATGCTAGATGTGTCATTTAAAAGGTTCTACCACTGTTCAGCAGGAATTTGCCCAAACAAGGGTCACATCCTGTTAAAAAAAATCAACTAAAATACAAAAAAAGAGGTAACAAAGCCCACAAAAACGGAGAATTCTGTCTTCATGCAGACAGAAACACATTAACAAGATAGCCAAAATATGGAAAAATCCAGTCACAAATACAATATTTCCAGAAAAAATATCTTTGCTGAAAAGTGAGTTGCAGTCATATTAGAGTAAATCAGTTTTCAAGGATGAGATGTGACAAAGAAATTGCCATGGCAATAAGATATCAGCAACCCTTGCGGATCCACCAAAGGGATCAGGAGTGTGATGTCAGTTTGAAACACACCCAGGAGGGAGGTAAAGACATTAATCGAGCTCCATCAAGGCCAACAGAGGGAAAAAAAAGAACGACATACGCAAAGCCTTGGGAAGGGACTGATGCTTTCTCGCTCCCTGAAAATAGAAAAACTGTCAAAAAAGTCAACCAGAGGTTCTTTAAAGATGGCGTGGTAAGGCAAAAAAAGCGCCCAGAAAAAACTTTATCAAAAAAGTGGTTGTTTGGGGCTTTTTATTGATAATGGAGGAGAAAATAGAAAGAAAGTGATGGTAAAAAGCCATGAAGAAATGTGTGTGTGTGTGTGTGTGTGTGTCTGTAGGCTGTTTCTGCGCAAGCGTGAGCGCACTAATGTTGTGTGTCTTCGCCATCTGGACAAGTCAGGCAGAGTGAATAACAGCTGGGAGGGAAAACAAATCTAGGACGTTTGATTGGTCAAATATAGACAAGGTAGAGGGAGAGGCCAGGTCAAGTTTAGGTCAAGACCCTCAAAATAAAAAACAAAAAGAGATAATGAAGAAAGAAAATCAGGTCACTCAACAAACAAAACCAGTCGATAAAGATGTGAGGATGCATTTTCACCTCTAAGTGAACAGCAGAGGACTCAACCAAAAATCTTTCACACACCATACTTCACACTGGAAACTAATGAGGAAAGAAAAAAATAAAGATTTAATGGTTTCAACCCCTTTCCATTCCAGGAGAATTTGCCTGTGAAGCCCTCTGATCCCATAGCGTACTCAGACTGATTCCAGAGAACCATAAACGTTTGATTTTATTCTACTTTGAGAGACAATACTCTGTGTCTCCCATTAACATTCAAAACCACTCCAAGATTTTAGAACAACTAACAAAAAGTCAATCAGATGAATTTGAGTCAAGAGATAAACTGAAATAATTTTTTGGTATAATTAACAACTGAATCCAGTTGACCTACGTACCCAAAAGGGTGTAGGCAGAAGCAAAGCTTATGATGATTACAGCAGCAGTTGGATAACTGTAAGAAGTCCATTTTGTTGATCTCACATAGGCCTCAGGTGGGACTTGGCACATTTCCACCATTAATCAGAAGCAGTTTAACCCATCTTTCTATGCCTGTATTACTTTGTCCTGATCCTGCCTTCTTTAAATGTATGTCATGTGCCGAAGTACAATTGTATTCAAGCCAAACAAATGCAAAAGTTTCCGGTCGGTAACAAGATGGCGCCTGTGCTTGGCTTAGCCGCGGTCACCGGCCACTTTTTCAAACTTTTCTCCACTAACCTCCTCTTTTCTACTTTGCTCCTGTCTGCGATCCTCTTCAGTAGTGTCTCTGCTACCATCTCTTATGATCGTCAGACTCTTTTGTCCTTCCGTTCATTCACGATCGCCCAAGATGCACCAAGGACGTACCTCCCTGTTTGTTTACCTGAGTGGCGTGCTGGCCCGGAGCCAAATGATTCCTACCAGGACGCCTCCAGCGATGTTTATCCGGTCCCGGTAAAACATCGGAGGAAAAGAGGTAAACAAGGAGGAATCCAGGTGAGAATAAGACTTCTCTTAAAGCGTGGTTTATCTAGTAAACATCGGTGTGATCTTCTAGCTTCTTGTCCTTTGTTTGGCGACTTGAGCGCCACTTCCGCATTCCCGCCAGGCCGCTTTGCGGTGCGGTTTCTCCGTCCAAGTTTTTTAAGGTCGGTTTATCCTCATTCTTCAGTGGCTTCTCCTCCTGTTCCCTCCATAAGTGTTGTTGTCGCCAAAAAGGTCAAGAGGTCATCTACAACATATATTGAGTTGAATTATGAGTCCTTAGGTTAAAAGCTTACTGAGATTGTAGGAGCCAAAAGCTGTTTTCTGTGTACGTGAGGTTTAACATGTCCAGCTTGTGTAAACCAGCTCCAGTAAACATTGAGCTCTCGGATCATGTTGGGATAACAGGGCTCGTCGACCTCTGGGCTGGAGGGCGCGTTGACCATACTGGGAAGTGTAAACATCACCCCATCCTCTCTCAAAGGACTGTGGGAGTAGCAGTATAAAATAAGCCTGCATCTTCGTGGCAGGAGGGCTTTTGCAGAAGGTTCCAGTCGAGGTTATTTAATACCAGGCTGCAGGCTGTCCCCAAGCTACTGGTGATGTATTGATGAATTGTACAAATAAATGCCCCCACGCTGTGTTTGGACAAAACTTGTCTCTCTCTTGTGTTTTGGTAAGGCAAAAGAACCACAGTGTTTTTTATTAACACCGTGGACTAACCCTGCTAACCCTGCTAATTTACGTCCACTAACTCCAGCTGTTTCTGTAGTTTCTGATTCCTCCACCTCACTCAGCATGGCTCTATTAAATACCCGCTCTGTTAACAATAAGTCCTTCCTGCTTAATGATCTAACTGTCTCTAAAAACCTGGATTTTCTGTTTCTGACTGAAGTTTGGCAGCAAATATCTGATTATTTTGGTCTGATTGAATTCTGCCCGAGTGGTTATTCTTTTCTTAGCCAGCCCCGGGGTTCTGGTCGTGGTGGAGATCTAGCTGTTGTTTTCAGAGACCATCTTCCATGTAGCTCTACAACCTCTGGTCACTTTGCTTCCTTTGAACTGCAGCTGATGAAAGTCGGGCGTAAGGACCCGTTCTACTGTGCTGTGGTCTATCGTCCACCTGGTCCAAACAGTTCTTTCCTTCAGCAGTTTAGCAACTTTCTATCCTCCACTGTGAAGCTGTCCAGACTGGTGATTGTTGGTGACTTTAACATCCACGTTGATGATCCCTCGGACCACTTTGCCATGAATTTCTCCAGCCTCATGGACTCCTTCAGCTTTACCCAACATGTTTCTGGCCCCACACACACCAAGGGGCACACTCAAGACCTTGTTTTTACCCCGAGTCTAAATGCTGACAGTGTTTGTCCTGAGGACGCTTATATTTCAGATCACCATTGCATTTTCTTTAACTTGTCAGTTTCTGCGTTCCCACCTCCTGCTCGCCATCTGGTTAGTTCTCGTTTTCTTAATGAGAGCACAGCTAGCAATTTTTCTGCTGCTTTTGATCCACCCTGTTCTGATAACGACCCAGATTCCTTAACTTGTCAGTTTAACAAGCACTGCCTCTCCATTCTGGACAACATCTGTCCTGTCAGAACCAGATCAGTTCCTGCAGTGAACCCTACTCCCTGGTTTAATGACAGCCTTCGCAGCTTGAAGTGCCAATGCAGAAAAATTGAGTGCTTGTGGAAGAAAACCCATCTCCACGTCCATCTGCTGCACCTAAAGGATTTTCTGACATCCTTTAACTCTGCAGTCAGAGACGCGAGGGTTTCCTATTTTTCCAACCTGGTGTCCCAGAGCAAAGGGAACCCCAAGGTGCTGTTTAACACCATCAGCAGCATTGTCTCCCCTGCCTCTCCTACAGCCTCCATCCACTCTGTTGCAGACTGTGAGAACTTTCTGTCTTTCTTTGTAGACAAAGTCAATAAGGTCAGATCTAGCATCTCTCCCTATGCCTTATTGCAGCCTCTCCTAACTCCAACCAGGCCCAGCATCCTAGATAGCTTTATTCCTGTTACTTTGCCAGAGTTAACCAAACTAGTTAACTCTATGAAGACCTCTGCATGCCCCCTCGACATCTTACCCTCATCTTTGTTTAAAAGTGCTTTTCAGTCCATCAGTCCCAGGGTTCTCTCTATAATTATTGCTTCTCTGGTTTCCAGTCAGGTCCCTGCTTACTTTAAGAATGCTGAAATCCACCTGCTTCTTAAAAAACTGAATCTTGACCCCCTCTCCATAGCAGCTTCAGACCCATCTCTAAACTTCCGTTCATCTCGAAGATCTTGGAAAAGGTTGTGGCTAAACAGCTCACAGCTGCTCTTGATGAACATAACATCTATGATAGCTTCCAGTCAGGTTTTCGTAGAGCTCATTCTACTGAAACAGCTCTTCTTAGGGTCTCTAATGACCTTCTGACTCACAGTGATGCAGGGGACTGTTCTGTCCTGGTTCTGCTGGACCTGACTGCAGCATTTGACACTGTTGACCATCACCTGCTACTGGAGAGACTGAGAAACTGGGTAGGCCTATTGGGAACTGCTCTGGATCAACCGACCTACAACCAACCAACCAACCAATCAATCAATCAACCAACCAACCAACCAATCAACCAACAAACAAACAAACACCGACCAACCAACCAACCAACCAACCAACTGACCAACCAACTGACCAGCCGACCTACAACCAACCAACCAACCAACCAACCAACCAACCAACCAACACACCAACCAACCAACACACCAACACACCAATCAACCAACCAACCAACCAACCAACCAACCAAAGAACTAACCAATCAACTAACAAACAAACACCGATCAACCAACCAACCAACCAACCAGCCAGCCAGCCAGCCAACCAACCAAAGAACTAACCAACCAACCAACAAACCGACCAACCGACCTACAACCAACCAACCAACCAACCAACCAACTAACCAACAGAAGAACTAATCAATCAACCAACAACCAAACAAACACCGACCAACCAACCAACCAACCAACCGACCAACCAACTGACCAACCGACCTACAACCAACCAACCAACCGACCAACCAGCCAACCAACCAAAGAACTAACCAATCAACCAATGACCAACCAGCCAACCAACCAAAGAACTAACCAATCAACCAATAACCAACCAACCAACAAATAAACACCAACCAACCAACCAACCAATGACCGACCGACCGAACCAATCAACCGACAATTAACCAAAGAACTAACCAACCAACCAACCAACCAACCAACCAACCAACCAACCAACCAATCAACCAACAAACCAACACACCAACCAATATTTAAAGACTTGCAGCACAAATTTACCTTTGCTCACTATTTGATAATAAAAGCGTTCAGAATTCCAATTAGCAATTCATGGGTGAGTGAACAATCTTCCAGTTGTATCACCCCAGGATGATTGTTCCAGATATTTTGACCATATTGTTCAACATTTTGCATCAGTCACATCACAAAAGCATCAGATGATTTCCAACAATATGTTACATGAGCACCCACTCATACACAGCCAGCCAGCAGGCGAGTGGTCGGAATGATAAGGGGTTTTAAACGGAATTGTCCAAAAGAGAGAATATAATATGAGGATTGAGGAAGCAATGGACACATATTATAAATGTAAGTGTTGAGGATGAGATGAAAGTATTATCAGAATGAAATATGAGGACAGGATAGGTGATAGTTATAATATAATGGACATTTTCCTCAACTCTATCCCTCCTCTTGTACCTGCTGCAGATCTGAAGCAGTGTGGTGAGCGTTATAAATATGGTGGAGTCTTAAACTCTGCTAATGAACCCACCGAGAACTGCTTTCCAGATCTGCAGGACAAGCAGGAAGCAAGGGTTGAAAAGGAATCAGGCCACTGTGTCATGTTGGTTCCTCCCAGCAGTCTTACCTCGTATGGGCGTGCCACCTGAGTGGGCAATGAATGCACGAGATTAGAGAAGGAGAAGAAGAAGAAAATGTTAGTACCACAAAAGGAGACGGGTATAAGGGAGGGAGGGAGGGAGGGACTGAGGGAAGTAGTTAACTTGTTGAGGAGAAGAATCAAATTAGAGAGGAAGACTTAAAATACAGAACCTTAGGAAGTGAGAAAAGGTAGACGAATAAAAGAAAAAGACAGAATAAATATAGATAGAATAAGCCTGAGAAGAGAAAAGCAGATCTTAGATAGAGTGACAGACAGGGACACAGCTATAAGGGGACTGGTTATTGATTGACTTCATCGACTTGCAGCAGGGCAGATGTGACTTTAGGAGGTGGAAGTGGTCTCTGAGTGGTAGACTCTGGCTATGTGCCCTGAATTTTAAACTTCACCTAACCTCAGTAAAGATAAAAACCTAAAAATTGAATCCTGCTATTTAGATAAAAAAGTCAATGTAACAAATGATGTGCACTTAAAATATTAAAAATTCACCTTTCAGAACCGTTATGCGACCCCCTGATTATTATCCACATTTGTTATATATTCACTATTGTTGCAGGTTTTCAATGCTAGTGGATAACAGAGTGGTGGAAAGTAGAAACTCCACAACACATTGTATTAACCCTCCCACTGTCTTTATGGGTGACCCCGCGAGGAACGTTGACCATTGAGCAGGACTGATGGTTTATCCCTTGAGGTCCACGTGGCAGGGGTGAGGTGGTGCTCACTCCTCACCCCTGCCACGTGGAACCAAGGGATGAACCATCAACCCTGCTCACTGGTGAACTTTCCTCACGGGGTCACCCATAAAGATGGTCGGAAGGTTAATAATGTGATGATTATGACATTCCCACTACCAGCACTAATTATAAAAAATAATTAAAAAATTGCAATAATACAATGTAAACATGTTAACTATTTTTAAAACATTCAAATATTTCAATTAAATTTTTTTCACTGACATTAAGTGACTTCTGTTTGAAAGCCATCTTTATCATTTGGAAACTACAGTGACACAAGCACACCTTTAAACTAAAGATATAACTCATAATGTCTCTAAATGTAGCTAAACGCAGAATTCATTACACGTTTGCTTTAAATCAAATATTAATTTATCAAAACCCAAATGGGAGCATTAAAAAGTGGATTTTCATCTTGACCACTGAAGGTAGCTTAGAGTATTCACAATCTATCATAAATTGAATGGCTAGCTAGACCCCCCCCCCCCCCCCCCACTACACTAGAGAGGATTTGCATGTGACATACCACAGTTAACGCCTGGTAGTCTGAAAACCAGGCCACCCCTGATTGATTTCCACTCCGGCTCCACCAGAGGCGAACTCACCTATCTGCAGTCTAGCTTATTGACCGGTAACTCGATACAAGAGAGTGGGGAGATTAAGTGGGTGAGTGGATGATAGAGTGAGTGAAGGAAAGAATAATTGAATAAGTGAACAAGTGGAAAAGTAGTATGGGTGAGTGTGAGGAGCAAATTATAACTCTTTGGGTGCGGAAAATCTGCAGGTGCACAGGTGAGGGTGAGGCCAGCTACCTCTAGGGTGGCAGAGATAAGTGTGTGTGTGTGTGCGTGTTATAGAGCTTGTGTATGCATGTCTATCCATGCCTTTTAACAAGAATGGATTAGAAATAGGCGTAAATGTACATCTGAGCCTCGTATTGTTATTTTGTGCGTCACTGTTAGTAAAATGCATGCCATGCATTTTAATAACACATTGAGTCACAGGTGTAAAGGTGAGCAGTAGCAGCAAGAGTAGCAACAATAGTGAGCAGTAAATAGAAGAGTGGGCAGTGAGGGTGTGGGCCTCGAAACAGAAGCACTTACCAAAGGACTCTGTGGTTAAAAAGATACAAAGAGAAAAGAACAGCATAGACATGGCATTATAATCGGACCATTGGTTACACACATGTGTTGATTTAGCTGAAACATCTTGAAAAAGTACTGGAACTCCACATAACCTCACCGAACACAGTATTAGCATTTAGAATCATTCAAAGGGACTATTTTGTATCCATCATGAATAAGAAACTAAGCTAGTACACTCAATTTCTAACAACGTGGTAGTTCAACTGATTTTTTTGATAGAATACAATAAAAATAACACAATTAGCAAGGGAATTGAGGGGTGTGCTAAATAATCATAATAATAACACAAACAGAAACAAAGAGGTGGTTCTCCACAACGAAGCCAGAAAGTTGGGTCTCCAATCACAAGAGATGGGGAGTTTGGGGTAGAGAGTCGATCCCTGGAGGCAGAGGGGAGGACGGAGCGGGGAGGGACTTTAGGACAAGACACTACTGTGGCTACCAACAGCAACTGGCTGGTTTTCAAAGGAATTTGTGAGTCAATGCGGCTCCTTTAAAAAGAACGTGAATGCAATTTGAGAAAGTAAATTTCACGATAAAGCAAGAAGGAAAAACAGAAGGTTATTTGAGAGTTTAGTCACAGCAGTGGGATAGACCAGAGGCTATTCCTCATGCTCATGCCACCATCACCTGGGTTTTCTGTATAAGCTGACAGAACACTAATCGTCTAGAATAAAGAAATGTAGCTTCACCGATGGTGCTACATGTTTGTTGAGTTTGATTTGTGGACAATTACTCTTCAGCTCTTTGTGATGGTGATATGAACAGGAAGTCCTCAGAGCGTGTGGAGAAAAGTTTGCTTAGACGGGTCTCGAAGAGTTTGCAGGGGTTGGCAACCATTAACAGCCGACTCATAATACAGCAGCAGCAGAGAAAGGCAGCAGAAAAACACAAACGGTGACCATGGCAGGAGGAGGGTGGGAGCCAAAGGGAAGGGGGGATGAGGGTAAGACCAAAGAGACTTTGTAGGAGTTGGAAATAAAAAAGAATGGGTTTGGCTGACAAAATGGAGAGAGTGGGGGGTAAAAGCAAAGTGTGAGGAGAAGAACAAAGGTATAAGGTGAGTGGTCACCTGAGCGGAGCTGCTTGATCCGTCCATTGTTATTGGACGTGTTGACTGGCAGGAAATCCTTGAACCAGGTAATTTCTGGGTCAGGGTTGCCGCTTGCAGCGCAGAGCATGGTGGCGGTCCGTGAACGCTCCACCACTTTGAGCTGGGGGCCCATATCAATGGTGGGAAACCCTGAGGGCAGCTGGTCCTCTGGAAAAGATGAAACAGATGAAACACACAAGTTATCGCAGACATTAACGGCAGTTTTAAAGGCAGACGCTCCAACGCAATTTAAATATTTGAAGCCATGATATTCCGTCAAACACTGAAGATTTAGTTGCTGAATTTATTTCAAACTTTGCCTTTTTGTTTTAGAGATTTGAATTGATTTGAGCCATCAACAGTTTCAAACCGCGCTGGGTGCTTTAGTCCAGATTTAACGGGATTTGCATCAAAGGGGAAATGCACGAGTTTAAATTTATATCTGAATTTTTTTATAGTGTTTGGGACAGGAAGTGACATTTGAAGAACCTGAAATTCAATTCAATTCAATTCAAAAATACTTTATTAATCCCAGAGGGAAATTGATTTGATTGATAAAACTGAGGTCAAACAGAACAAGTACCATTAAAGCTTCAGGCTGCTGCTCTCCGAATAAAACATCAAGTGAAAATCAATTCTCTATTCTGCTGGGAATGTGTGGCAAATGAGCTGCACTTTAAGGAGCTCTGTCCATTTCACACGTCTCCGCGAAGGCTCAGCACCTGCTTAATACCAAATAGGTAAGTCCAATAAAGACATGTCCACCGGGACCTGCTGTCTTTAGGGATGGTAAATCACACGTGAAATCAGAGGCAATTAAATCAAACACGGAGACTCGTTCCACGGTGATGCAGAAAATCAAAGGCAGCGGTTCGACTTTGTTCACCTGAGGGGGAGATTTAAGAGCAGGGAGGGGACAGAGATCGAACGAGTTTGAAGGTCAAAGATGGTGCATGTCAGTCAAAAAGAAAAATAAATACAATACCCAGTGGTACAAGTCTAACCAGTTTTGGAAAACAAATTCATAACCTTTCAAGTCTTTGGAAGAGCAAGTTCAATTCTTTGATTCCCGAGTATTCCACACTAAACTGGATAAAAAGACGGACACAGTAAGGAAAGTGAGGTGTTTATGGAATGAGTGTTCCTGCATGTTTGAGCTGTATTTGATCTAGAAGGCAGTTTATTTTAATCCCTCACATCTCTTTTATTTATTTATTTATTTTTACCCAGAATCCCCCGTGACTTTATCCCTCTCCACCACACACAACCTCATTAACGGGAAATCCTAGCGCTGAACCTCACCAAGGAGATGCTAATTCTGGTAGTAGCTCATCGAACCTTAGCCGGCGGGTCGTGAGACGCCGGCATCAACGGGAGCGTGTGTGGCCTTTTAACAGCTCCGGTTTCAATCAATCACGACGGCTAACAAATGGAAACATGGGTATAATAACAAACTAAGAAAACAAGACGAGAAGGTGTTTGTGTGTGTGTGTGTGTGTGTGGGGGGGGGGAAGAAAACGTGCCGACGAAGGGCAAAAGTGCAAGAAAGAGCGGTGGTGGGGAGGGAGACAGACTGGGACAAAAAAGAGCGGCAGAAAGGAAAACAGGAGGGAACAAGAGAAAGAGAAGGAGAAGAAGCACGAGGGACTTATACGGCATAGCAATCCTGATTCTCTCCGCTTTCATAATGCAAACACTTACTTCAAAGCCAGCCCCTTGTAGGCAGCAATAATGCATTCTATTTCATCTACCTGGGGTGGGACGCTGCGCTGAAGAGAGCGCTGTTAGAATGCTACTCCCTGAGTTCAGGCATCTCTCTGCCACCTCTCTACAGACATAACCGATGAGAAGGGTGGCAAATATTGATCGGATCTTTTGTAATTTCTAGGCTTGATTACTGCAGCTCTCTCTATGCAGGGTTGTGCAGTCATCACTGCGTCGCCTACAGGTTGTGCAGAACAGCGCCGCCAGGTTCCTGACTGGGACCAGGAAACGGGACCACATCAGTCCGGTTCTGGCCTCCTTGCACTGGCTTCCGGTTTGCTATCGTTCACACTTCAGACTCCTCGTCTTTGTTTTTAATTTCTTCCAGGGTGGTGCTCCCCCCTATCTAGCCTCACTCCTGAACAGACATTCCCCATCACGCACTCCTCTGACCAAGGCCTGCTCGTTGTCCCTCGTTCTAGGTGTCGTACTCGCGGGGACCGGGCTTTCTCAGTACTAGCACAGTCACTCTGGAACCAGTTGCCACCCTCGTTTAGGCTGTCCCCATCTCTGCCAGTCTTCAAGAGTCGCCTAAAAACACACCTCCTCTGCTTGGCGTTTCCTGAACATGTTTGAATTTGGCCCTCTTTTATGTTGATTTTATCTCACAGTTTTCATTGGTTCACTTTTTCCCTTGTTTTACACATTTGTATTCTACTAGAATGTTTCACCTTTTTTTGTAATTTGTAATCTGTAATTTGAATTGCTTTTATTTTCTGATTTATTCACTTTATTTAACTTTGTACTGTTCCATGTTCAGCACCTTGGGCTTCCTGACAGGGTTGCGGAAGGCTCTTTATAAATAAAGCTTTGATTTGATTTGATCTGATCTTAGAATTCTTGCAAACTCAAACACACACTAAACGTACGTCCATCCTGGTGAAAACTGTGCATACAGGTGCACAGACACTAGCTGATTAGCGGTGATTAGGAACTCATCATTGGTCCCAACAACACAACAACATCACCAGAGTTTGTGCCATAATGCTGCAGCTGTGTGATGGTGTGTGTGCATGAGACAGTGGGGCTGAACACACACGCACGTACACCTCCTGAGGTCAGGGCAGATGTGCAACCCTACACTCCACTGTTGGCTGAGCCTCACAATCATCACAGCATTTCATTTGGATATGCTCTTGTTTCACCGTTTCCACTTTAGGCAAAACGGATGATTTCAAAGCTCAAAGAGCAGCCTGGACTCCCAATCATGGGAACTGCTGTGTGAAAACGCCAAGCTCTTTATATATCACTGATAATGTAGTCCACACACAAAGCTGGCAAGGTTTCGTCATCTGCCAGGACGACTACGAGTCAAGTCTGGTCTCTGAGTCACAGGAACAAAGGAAATGTGTTGACCTTTGTATCACAGACATCTGTTTACATCTTCAAACTTGCTTCACTTTTTCATGGCTGACTCGGAGGTCAAATAGGGAAAAAAGTACTATCATAAATATCTTTGTTTAGTTCCAACACAACACTGTTCATTGCAATAATAGTATTTCACTTACAGTGCTCAGCATTAATGAGTACACCCCACTACATTTGTCAGAAAACCTTTAGTTTCCAAGAGATACCACACCAGGGACGGCGTTAGGCCCGGCTACTTGGGCTGAAGCCCCGGATTTTTCTTGATAAGCCCCGGATCTAAATCGCGGAAGTAACATGCAGTACCAAAGTCCAACAGAGAGGGCGCAGCTGGCAGTAGTTTGTATACAGCCTGCCTGAGCTTCCACCAATGAAGAAGAAGAAGCCCTTTAGCGGCCGCTTCTTCTACACTCTGCCTGAAACGCATGAGTGAAGATGGACATAAGGACGTTTTTTAGACCAAAAGTACGGCGACAGAACCCCAGCTCAGGTTTGTGAGTCTTATTTGAAAATATTTGTTGTGCTGCTGGTTTACCTAAAGTTAGCTCACTATCAGGTAAAGTTGTTGGAGAAATAAAGGGAATATTTACTATCTTCTCACACTAAACACTAACAGGAACAATACTCTGCCCTGAAAATGCTTAATATGTAGCTTCAGATTAAAAATTATGTATGATATATTTATGATATATATATATGATGTTGACTAGTGCGTGTCATGTGCGCGCGCGTGTGCGTGTGCACGTGCGTTAAGCCCCGGATCTTCTTCAGTCCTAAATCGGCACCACACAATACTCCCACAAATGTGGACCTTTGATTGCAAACAAGATTTGTTAATTTGCACACAAAAAAGTGATTTTCCTAACAAATCCAGTCAAGCCCATGTTGCTAAAATGAGTACAGCCCAATTATAGTCTTGACTATAGACTGCAAAATTCAAATGAACAGGCATTAAACCACAGGCGAGTCTAATGATTCATTTAAGAGGTGTTCAGCAGACAGGTGACTATAAAAGAGCATTACTTAACGAAGAAAAGTCCTTCCCATTTCATGCTGTCAGTAATGGCTCCGCTCCTTCCGCTTCCTCGGAACCACCATCACACATGACCTTAGGTGGGAGCCATCCATCAGCTCCCTGATCAAAAAGGCCCAGCAGAGGATGTACTTTCTGCGGCAGTTGAAAAAGGCCAAGCTGCCGGCCCAGATGATGGTGCAGTTTTACACGGCCATCATTGAGTTCATCCTCACCTCCTCCATCGCTGTGTGGTACGCTGGAGCCACGGTGAGGGACAAACATAGACTGCAGCGCATTGTGCGCTCTGCTGAGAAGGTGATTGGCTGCAGCCTTCCATCTCTCCAGGACCTGTACGTCTCCAGGACTTGGGGGCGTGCAGGTCGGATAGCAGCTGACCCTTCTCACCCGGGTCACAGACTTTTTGAGCCGCTTCCCTCAGGCAGGAGGTTACGGTCCATCCGGACCAGAACCTCCCGCCATAAGAACAGCTTCTTTCCATCTGCCGTTAGACTTGTGAACAGCTTATAAACACACAACCATGCTGGTCTTCTGTACTCGACACAACGTCACGTTATCGGCCATGTTACCATTACCTGCCATTTTTTATAGCTGAAAGTTTTATTCTATTTTATTCTATTTTTAATTTTATTATTCATGTTATATGTAGCACATTAGTACCAAAGCAAGTTCCTAGTTTGTGAATTGTTTGTTCACTGACAATGGCAATAAACCTATTCCGATTCTGATTCTGACATGGAAGAGGAGTGTCACAAAACCAGAGAAAGGAAATAATTTCTTTACACAAGAAGGTGAGGGCTACAAGAAGATCAGCAAAGCTTTACATATCAGTCTAATACTGTAGCAAAGGTCATCCAAAAAGTGATCCAAAAATTAAAGATGGGAGTGCAACCTTCTTGTAGAGACGTCCAGGCCGCCCACGGAAGTTAACATCTCAACAGGATGAGATGATGATGAAATGGGTTGAAGAAAATTGCCATGCAAGTTCACTGCAAGTTTCATGCCA